TTAGAGTGTTAAAGAAAGTCTTGTATTAAATGTTCAATAAAATATTGAAGGCCTATTGTGAGTACTTTGAACAGATAGATTAATTAGCAGATAGATTACTGCTTACAGACTACTACTTATTCCATTTAAGTAGATCAGTCATAATTAAAATTTTAATAGTTGAATTCATGAGTCAATTGAAGCTAGACTACCATGGAAAACTTGGAGGCACTAGATGACCGTTTCGTCTTACTGTGGAACTCCTCAGCAGACCAGTTCTTCCAGGTTTTTCATAGGGATCTAGCTTCACTTGACTCATGATCTCAACTATTAAAATTGCTCTATTATTCACATAAACCCCTTCTGATAATAATTAAAATTATTTCATATAAATAAGTTGATTAATGAATAGTAACAGCTGTCTTGTTCATATTCCACAGTACAGTCAATGTCTCTTTTAATGAAGAAATGTAATACAAACATGAAGCTTTACCTAGTCGGTAAGTAGCTGTCTCAATGTAGGTAGTAAATAAAAGGATTGCTAACATTTCCAGATCTTCAAAAGTGTCGTTTGCCGTTAGCCAGAGGTTTTTTTTCATCGGGCTATGCAAATGACATGAAGTACATGTTAGTGGGAAAAATAATCCAAAGACATGTATCATACACTTTTTAAGAAATCTGATTCTTTTATTTTAGGTATTGAAATTTGATACAAATGAATTTCCATAAAGAAATAACATAAGGCCATCAATGGGTGATTTTAACAGAAATGATAACTAGTCGTTAACAAAACTTTCCCTTTGTCTAGCAAACCATTTAGATAGTAAGCAAAGATGGATAATGGTGGGACCCAAGACGCGGTTTTCATCCTATTTGGGACTCGTCAGATGGATGTACCAGCATCTTAGAATTGATGTTCACTTTGGGATGCAAACCCAGTACAGTTCACTTCAAACGCCATCACCTTATACACTCAGCTACTAAGTACTGATAGCTACTTGCTTATGCAACGGGATGAAGTTTTAAATCCACTTGGTATTGTTTACTTGAATCCATCTTTGTTTAGAATGCTTATGAACTAAGGCAATATTGAGGCAATATGCATAGTATCCACATATGCCAATAAGATACTGAGCAATTGCAGTCCTAAACATCAATGACAAGATTCAAGGAAAGACAATATCAAATGATGATGAATATTTCCAAAGGTTACGTTCATCACAAGTTATTATTCATTGATTGATTATAAACAAATGTTTAAAATATGAACTTGTATACTTTTCAACAGAAAACTGGATCCTGAATCTTTCAATCTGCTTAAAATAAGAATGTATGTAACTGAATGAATGAGTGATAACCTTTCATATATGATATATATACTATTCACTATATTGAAATATACTTGATGAAATGATTGACGAATGATTGATTTCAATAGGCTTCTAATGAGAAGCCGTAACCAGTGGAGTTCAACTTGGTCTATTGTGAGATAGTAACTTACTGATGGCAATGGTGGATGTGACACTCAATTTCATGGATTAGTTAAAGTAAGACATTACCATCGTTGGATGCTGGATCAATGATCTAAAGTTTAAGCGTTCGTGCATGAGATTGATAGGTCTTGGATTCGAATGTTGCGAGGCGGGATCTTAGATGCGCTCAGTTGAGGAATCCCATACCAGGATGAAACAACCATCCAGTGCTTCCAGGCTTTCCGTGGTGGTCTATCTTTTATATTATTTGATAGTAGTTAACATTAAAATATATCTGTGGTTTACAAAATATTGGGTAATACAATAAACACAACATGTCATATTGTTCAATTCTTGTTTTATTGAGTCAGATTATTACTACTCTACGCTTACCAAAAATACTTCTCTATTTAAACAAATATAAAAAGGTAATTTATGTTTACAAGTAAGTAAGTAAGTAAGTAACTGTCATGTGGAACAAACTGTTATTGATGATTCTACCACATAATTTGTATCTTCTTTTTGAAGTATTTAAAATGGCTAAGTTATTTAGAAATTATTATTGTGGTAAATCACATATGCTTGTTGTGACGTGTATCCATCATCATAAGGTGAAATTGTTAAATATACTTCATTTCTGTCTTGACCAAAACTTATTCTTTTTATATGTATACTACTTATAAGTAGTAAACAAGACAATCGTAAAATGTTTAGCAGCTTTACAAAACAGATGGATGTGTAATAAAATCAATTGATTAAACGGTGAGGTAGATTGTAGCATTGGATAACACTTTATTGAAGATCTTATATTTGACATGGAAACGGAGAAATTAATAGGTGATTAAAAGGTAGTGCTATTAATGAGGAAGGTCATACTTATGTGGTAAGTCGGTAACCTACTATTTCTCTCTAGCTATTATGAAGCTGAATTTAGTCGCATCCTTTACTAAACTTATCGATATATATATATATATATATATATAGTGGTTGAATTCATGAGTCAATCGGAGCTAGACCACCATGGATAACATAGCAGCATTGGACGGCTGTTTCTTACTAGTATGGGACTCCTCAGTAGTGCGTGACCACGGTTCCGCCCCTCAAGATTTGTAAAGATTCCGCCTTGCGTTCTTATTAATGTATGACGTAATGATACCGCCAATTAGAGAACAGTGAATTATCGACCGGACCAACGACGCATAAAACGAGCAGTCTAGAGTCCTTATCGGTCGTGCTTCCTGCCTAGCCCCCACCTGTTAAGTTCAGAACACCGATCTCAGCCTCTGCAATATGAATCATTTATTTCAAATATACTGAGTCTATACACCAACCAAACAGACCACATCGTACCACAAAATAGGAGACAACATTTGTACAATATTTAGCCAAAAGTGGCTGTCAATAAGAGAGATAATAATTGATAGATGTGGCATAATTCAAGAATGGTAAATCGTTCATAGTTCATAGGTCAAAATAAAACTTATAATAAGAGGAACACGAATATTAATAGTTTAGTTATTTAAAAATTATACGATAAAAATATACGTATAGTATTGGTCCATAAATGGATCTCAAATGTTGCCATTCATCATTTATCATCATCGGGTCCCAGATAGTTCAGTGGTAACGTCTCTGACTGTGAAATTGGGTGACACGCAATCGAATCTGTCAGGGTCCAGTTTTCTGGTGAGTGCCAAATAGCACTAAACCCGGGTCCAGGGTTTCCTGTTGACTACCTACAACTACCATCTTCTAATAAATTAATCCATAAACCTTCTTATGACCAGTTTTTTGGCACTTTAAGTAAAAACATCCAACTATAGAACCTGATTTTTTAATGAAACACAACCACGAAGCCTTCGTTTCTATGATCAGCTTACTTTGACAGTTGATGAATCTATGTATCAGTAGAACTATACAGAATCCAATCAAAATGTAAGGCTAACTCTAACTATTGAAAGCTAATGAATTACTACTTAATCTTGAATTTCAATTACGTCAGCCAATAAAACATGAAACGACGAAACGTCCGTCTAGTGCCTCCAGGTTATCCATGGTAGTCTAGCTTCAGTTGACTGATGAATTCAAATATAAAATTACTAAAATCTCCATAAAATTCCCATCTGATAATAATAATAATGGATAATTGAAGAAGGAAATATACAAATAAGCCATATAAAGTGTTCCATTACTTGTCATAAAATTGTTTTCATAGACTAATGAACAATTATTAGAAAAGCAATTTTGGTGGAGATTTAGCAATTTAATAGTTGAATTCCTCAGTCAGCAAAGCTAAACCACTGGCGAAAACCTGGAAGTACTGGACGGTCGTTTCGTCCTAGCATGAGACGCCTCAACAGTGCGCATCCATGATCCCGCGTCGCCAGATTCGAAATTAGAATCTTCGCTATTGAGCGCGAACGCTTAATCTCTAAACCACTGAGTTGATATCCAACAATATTATTCTCTAACTTCAAACAATTCACGATATTGAGCCATCGTCCACCATTGTCTTCAGTGAGTAACTGTCTCACAACAGACACGATTGAACCCCACTAGTCACGCTTTCTCACTAGAACTCCATCAAATACCTCATGAAGTCAGTCACTAGTGATCACATGGTGATTATTATTATTATTATTATTATTATTATCAGAATGGGGGTTATGTGGAAATTGTAGTTGATTTAACAGTTGAGTTCATGAGTCAATTAAAGCTAGACCATCATGGAAAACCTGGAAGTACTGTACGGTCGTTTTCTTCCTAGTATGGGATTCCTCCGCAGTGAGCATCTACGATTGCGCTCGCGAGATTCAAACCCAGAACCTCCGGTTTCGCGCGAAAATGCTCAAGCTCTAGACCACTGCATCGGCATCCAACAATGTCAATATCTAACGATGGCTCACTTTCATGGGTTGGTTGAAGTTAGACATTAACACCGTTGGATGCTGATTGAATGATCTAGTGGCTAATAAATAATTGTCTTATTACTTCGATATTTGAAAAATGATTTCATTCATCATACAAATAACCAATAAGTTTCTAGTACATAGAACTGTTCCAAGGGAGAGAAAAAAAAACAATTATGTAACATTTCAATAGTTGAATTCATGAGTCAATTAACGTTTGACCACTATTGAAAACTTAGAATCACTAGACAGCCATTTCGTCCTTATTGTTGGACTCTTCAACAATGTTTACAAACATTGAATTAGAAAGATTTAATTGACCATATGGAAATCTATAAATCTAACTAAATTGAATCAATATATAGATCTATGGGAATAGGGATAAAATTTCTCAAATGAATAATCACATGATCTCTTCATTGATTGGTTATTCATTAACCAATCAAATGTTTCCTAGTAGACATTATAGTAGACATATCGATATATTTAAGTAGCCATTGACAAAATAATCAATAATATAGAAAGCTAGTAAAGTTCTCATGAATATGAAAATGGGATAAATTATAATAAGATTTATATATAGAGGAAATATATCCTTATCATGTATTTATATATTTATATGATTTTATTACAAATCTTAATGATAAATGGAAGTTTTGATGATGTGAAATCGAAGTAAGTATATTAGTGATTATTATATACCTATATTATGTTTAGAGGTTAGGGTTTTGTGTTCGAGTCTTGTGTGTGGAATCGTGGATAGAAATTGTTGAGCAACGAGCTCTAAACTTACTGAGTTGATATCCAACAATGTTTATGTCTAACTTTAAGTAATTTGTGATATTGCATCATTGTCCATTATTGTCTTCAATGAGTCACTGTGTTACAACAGACATGGTTGAACTGCACTGATTATGGCTTTTCATTAGAACTCTGAGAATTCACTCATGAAGCTAATCATTAATGAGTAGTATCAGTATGGAGTTGTGAAGATTGGTAAGATTTTGATTAGCATCATAAATCGGTCGATGTTCTAGTGAGAAGCTGTGACTAGTGCAGCTAATCCGTGTCAGGTGGAGATAGGTATTTACCTCTGACAATCGAAGATGGTTGGGTAATTTCGTGGACTGGCTGAAGTTAGACATTAACACTATTGGATGACGGCTCAGCAGTCTAGAGCTTAAGCGTTTGCGCGTAACATATAAGGTCCTGAGCTTGAATCCCACCTCCGGAACCGTGAATACGCACTGCCAAGGAGTCCCATACTAGGACGAGAAGGTCATCCAGTACTTCCAGGTTTTCCATGATGTTCTAGCTTTAATTGACTCATGAACTCAACTGTTAAATCAACTACAATTTCCACATAACCCCCATTCTGATAATAATAATAACAATAATCACCATGTGATCACTAGTGACTGACTTCATGAGGTATTTGATGGAGTTCTAGTGAGAAAGCGTGACTAGTGGGGTTCAATCGTGTCTGTTGTGAGACAATTACTCACTGAAGACAATAATGGACGATGGCTCAATATCGTGAATTGTTTGAAGTTAGAGAATAATATTGTTGGATATCAACTCAGTGGTTTAGAGATTAAGCGTTCTCGCGTAAGAGTGAAGATTCTGGGTTTGAGTCTTGCGTGCGGAATCGTGGGTGAGAACTGTTGAGGAGCCATGTACTAAGATGAAATGATCGTCCAATAATTGCAGGTTCTCAATGCTGTTATATTTTAATAGTTAAGCAACTTGTTCACTCTTCGTTTAGTTCTAACATTTGAATAAAGATATATTGTAAACTTCTTGAATATAACACGAAGAACAATTACTGAATGCCAAAATTGAACTCAATGATCAAGTTATTTGTTTTGTTTCCTTAAACAAAGTTAAATTCAATGAGAGTCATATAGAAATTAAAGAAATGTGATGAATGTTGTCATGATTACCAATCCTACTTTAAATATTGATTCACTTAGATCTACAGTCTTCCACAGTGTACGAATATTCCATGTACCTAAATTAATGGTTTCTCTGGTTGTCAGAAGGAGCATCGGCATCATGACTTCCAAAGGAACTCTGCTTTCACTATGAGGCGTCATAACTCTTTTAAATGAAGACCTAACTCCCAGGGCAGAGTTTAATTGGTATGAATTAGTTTTCCTGGTTAGCGCTTCTTTAGAGAGTTCGTTTTCTACTAGATGGGGTCACTAACCCCATGCCCGATCCTCCTCCATTATCTGGGCTTGGGACCGGTAATAGCCCCACAGAGGCCCCAGGCTCTACGGTAAAGTACCATTAAATCAGAGGTAGAGCAAGATGGAAGTAAAGAGGAAATTCTTACTCAGATCATCGAAGAATCAAGTCACAATGACTAAATCTATTCATTCCCGATTTAACTATCGAAATTTAACGTTGCAAACTACGTTTTTATTATACTATCTTAGTCTCTATAATTCTTTGTAGTAAACTGTGTATTGATGATTGGACTAGGGTCATTTGATTGATTTAGTTGGTTTCTGAAAGTTTAATAGTGAACACATTACTTTACTGATGTAATTATTTTGAATACTTTAACTAATTTATCAACAATTAATGTCATACAATATTCTGTAGAACGCAATTAATCGATCATTTAAAGAAATCATCATCATCTATTAGGAACCTGTTATGGATGCTTTAAATTATTAATGAATGAAGTTGATGATTTGACGACATATTACTTACTTACTTACATACGCCTGTTATTCCTAATGGAGCATAGGCCGCCGACCAGCATTCTCCAACCCACTCTGTCCTGGGCCTTCTTTTCTAATTCCATCCAATTCTTGTTCATTTTTCTCATGTCTATTTCCATTTCTCGGCGTAATGTGTTCTTTGGTCTTCCTCTTTTCCTTTGGCCTTGAGGATTCCATGTGAGGGCTTGTCTTGTGACGCATTTGGGTGCTTTCCTCAATGTGTCCTATCCACTTCCAACGCTTCTTCCTAATTTCCTCTTCCGCTGGGATCTGGTTTGTTTTTTCTCGCCTGGAGTCCCTCCGGGGGCTACTGCCGGTCCCAAATCCGGATAAAGGAGGAGGGTTGGGCATGGAGTTAGCGTCCCCATCCCATCGAAAACTAACTCGCTAAAAAAACGCTAACCAGAAAAAAAATTATTCGACGACATATTAGAGTTAACATATGTGAACATTTAAAAACTATTAAGTTTATGAGGAAACAAGTTCATCTATATCATAGTTAAACGAAGCATATAGTCTATGAAACTCTTACATTCTTACCAATTTATTAAGTTGTCTTGATTAATACTCTGAATTAACACTTGTCAGTGACTATTGTAACCAATGGTTGGAGACTCTCAGTGACATGGCTCAGAATCGATCACAATGGCGTCGGTGTATATACTCTCTGTCTTCGCTTAAACTAAGAGATTAAAATCGCTTCATATCTTTCTTTCTACGAACTGAATCTTTCTTCCTGTACTATATCCTTAAATGCAATCTATCTTTTATATATTACCACCATTGACTTCACTACTCCTATGAATCCGGTGTTCATCTTGTTGTGTTAATGAGATATGGCAACTTGGACCGATGCATATATGTGCTTGGTCCTACGTTGTAGCTGACTGACTGACTGATGGAGTATGAGGAAATGAAAAAAAACAACAGGGTTTTAATGATTGTGATATGACAGGAAGAAAAGTCAAAATCCAATTGATTTATTCATTATGAATCTTGTTCAATATTACGATATTCTTGTATTTAATGAACATAAACTATGCTCAGTATGTGATTTGTTATAACATCTATGTGATTTCATTTTAATTATCAATCAAAATGAGTATACAAATCAATATATAAATGAGCGTGTTTTCGACTACTGTCGTCGTCGTCGTCATTGTGTTTTTGGGGATTAATTAATTTTCACTTGTACTAGTTTTTGTGTTCTTACTTTCACGTCGTGGAAATTTCAAAGGTCCCCTATTTCATTACTGTGCTGATTCATACAGAAACAGAAAATGACTCTCCCTTCCGATCAATTTTAGTTGCTATTTCAGTGACAACAGTATCGTTTTATAAAGAATCAGTTGGAATTTTTACAGAAATTACACACATGGCTGTTGAATCATCTATGCTTTGGAGATGTGACGGGAGTTAATGAACTAATTTCTAAATTACGTACAGAGATGGGAAATGATTGCATAATGAGTGCATGTGTCAGTGAAAGCTTCCATGAATCCTTGACAAGCATTAATTTAAAAGAAACATTAGCAACCATACATGATTCACACAGTAGTCCAATAATGTTCATTTCAGAGACATGTCCTGTAGTATAACATACGATATTATTCTATTAAATTAACATGAACTATGCACAGCATGACATGTAGCATATAATTTGTTATAACTGTAAGTACTTTTCATATATGTGATTTCATTCTAATTATTGATCAAAATGAGTGTATTTTCGACTACAGTCGTCGTCGTCATCGTTGTGTTTTGGGGATTATTTAATCTTTACTTGCACTAGTCTTTGTGTTCTTACTTTCATGTCGTGGGAATTACAAAACTCTCTCGTTTCGAGTATAAGTGATAGGTGTTCCCGATATAACAATCAGCGACGATCAGATCTAACAAATAACGTTCAATCGACAAGACATAACAACTGACGACGGAGTGAAAAAATAAAAGAATCAAGATATATCAGATTGTTAGAATGAAAATTGTTTCTATGTATCAAAGGAATTCAATTTTCTTTTAATAATCATTTTAATATTCTTTATCCTTTAGTTTCGATAGATGGGTCATTGAATTGGGCAAATCCTTCAGTGAACTACACACGATAACTGGTGAACCATATTTAAAGTCTGTAAGTTCAATAAATGTTTTATGTCAAAATTTTAAATTTTCTTATGAATCAATTAAGATATACCCTGTTTATTAATTAATTTCTCGCGGGGTAGGATCGTAAAATGCGCACTGTTGAGGAGTCTCATATTAGGACGAAACGTCGTCCAGTACTTCCAGGTTTTCCATAGTGGTCTAGTTTAAATTGACTCATGAATTCCACTATAAAATTACTGAAATCTCCGCAAGACCCCTTCTGATAATAATCATCGTATGCTCACTAGTGACTGGCTTCATGAGGTATTTCGTGGAGTTCTAGTGAGAAGCTTTGATTAGTGGAGTTCAAACAGGTCTGTTGTGAGATAATAACTCACTGAAGACAAAAATGGATGATGGTCCGATTTTGTGAATTGGTTGAAGTTAGATGTTAACACCATTGGATGTCAACTCAGTGATCTAGAGGTTGAGCGTTGGTACGCGAGCGGGATCGTGGATGCGCACTACTGAGGAGTACCATACTAGGACGAAACGGCCGTCCAGTGCTTCTAGGTTTTCCATAGTAGTCTATGTTTAGTTGACCCATGAATTCAACTATCAAAAATTACTAAAATCTCCACAAAACCCATTCTGATAATAATTTCTGATTACTTGGTGTGTGTATAAAAGGAAATTAAAGTTTCCTCAAATGATTCGTGAATGAAGTTATGATGAAATACAAAGCTCTTTCAATAATCTTTAAAATGATCTAAGATCTAATCAATTCGAATAACTACGAAGTCAATAAAATTGACAGAGATGACATAAACGATCATTGATAACACATCATATGCTTAATTGATTGAAATAAAATTCTGGAACCCAATATTCTATCTCGTTAGCTTAATAGTATCATGTAAGATATTAGACTAGGTCATGAGTTCATACTACTAAGGTGTCATCTTAGCGAAATCGAGAACTATTAAAAAAGGACCGGTTACTAAACAGGGGCTTGATGGGTAAACGTTTGATAATGAAAGATCTACAGTTGGTGCTTTCTATTTCGTGAGAAATGGAACATACATAATTTTAAGAGAGAAAAGCTAATATGAACCCAGTATGTTTGAAATGCATGTTTTATATCGCAGAGGCTGAGATTAATGTTCTGGACTCAACAGGCAGGGCTAGGCAGGAAGAACGATCACTAAGGACTCTAAACTGCTCTTACGGGTTCATGCATCAGTGGTCCGGTCTATAAGTCACTGTTCTCTAATTGGCGGTATCATGACGTGATATAATAATAGGGGCACAAGGCCATAAGTTATAACAAAGCTCTTTACTCATCTTTAAACGTTAACTACAAATTTAGGTTGTGCAAATTACTGCGATAAACAACATAGTTCGATTGTTTAAAACGATAGAGTTGAATTGAGCAATACTAATTAGTAACCGAGTGATTGAGGTTTTTAATCAATAAAGAATGAATTTATATTTTAATGACAAATTTAAAACTGGATTGTGTTATATTCTGATTGAGATCATGAACCGATTGATGTTAGACTACCACTGAAAACTTGGAAACATTGGACGACCGTTTCGTCCTATTGTGGAACTCCTCCTCAGCAGTGCGCATCGACGATCCATTGGTGAATTAAGATTTTTTAAAAATTGTATTATGTAACATACTTTATCTTTTACAGATTTATAAAACTACCAATTTTGGTGCACAAGAAATTAATGAAACAATTGCAACTACATATCTTGATACAGCCATTAAAAAACTTGAAAATATTGTTAATGAAAAGACGAAATTAGTTGAAGTAAGTGAGTTTTTCTGATTGAAAAGAAATCTCTTTTTTGCATTTAAACATGACAATATCATATTAAATGATCATTGAACAATTACTTACCTACTTACTTACGCCTGTTACCCCTTGCGGAGGAGCATAGGTTACCCACCAGCACTCATCATCCAACCCTGTTTTGGGAAATTCTTTCCAGTTGCTAACAATTCTTTTCATATCTGCTTCCGTTTCCTGACGCAGTGTGTTATTCGAACATCCTCTTTGTTACTTCCATTCAAGATTCCAAGGTAGAGCTTGCCTCGTGATGAAGATTGGTGATTTCCGAAATGTATGTCCTATCCATTTCCATCGTCTTTTCCTAATTTCCTCTTCATCTGGAAGCTGATTTGTTCTCTCCCACAGTAGGCTGTTGTTGATGGTATCCGGCCAATGGATGATGAGTATCTTGTGTAGACAACTATTTATAAATACTTGCGTCTTCTTGATGATGGTTGTAGTGGTTCTCCATGTTTCAGCTTCGTACAGTAGAACTATCTTGATATTCGTGTTGAAGATTCTGAATTTGATGTTGACTTGCAAACATTTGTTTTGAGTTCCATATGTTTTTCACCTGTGGGAATGCTGTCCTTGCTTTACCAGTCCTCACATTTAAGTCCGCATAGGATCCTCCACATCCATCGATGATTCTTCCCAATTCTTTCAGAGTTTCGCCATCAAATGTAATTGAATTGGTATTATCCGTGTTGTATTTGAGGATGCTGCTCTTTCCTTTGTGTATATTGAGGCCTACTGATGTAGAGTGTGCAGCTACACTAGTTGTCTTCACATGCATTTGTTCGTGTGTATAGGATAGAAGGGTCAGGTCATCTGTGAAGTTCAAATCGTCTAGTTGCATCCGACCCGTCCATTGTTTTCCGTGCTCTCTCTCAGATGTCGAGGTCTTCATAATCCAGTCGACCGCCAGAAGAAAGAAGAGGGGGGAGAGTAGACAGCCTTGTCTGACAATAATCATCTATATTAAACTAATAACTGTTTATGGATGTTTGGTTGGAATTTTATTGTGAACGTGATTATTGATTTTTAGATATTTGAAGGATACCTGTTTTCGATATGTATCTCCTTCAAGAAGTCCGATTCTTCATCTATGACCTTGGGACCACAAATTCTACGTATTCTTGTAGCTAGTGATAATATTAAGTTTATCTTTTTCGACTAATGGGGACCTAGCTGTGGAAACTTGATAGTTGGCTATTCCACATGGGTACATGAGTACATGTACAAGTATTTGTAAATAGTTGTCTACACAAGATACTCATCATCCATTGGCCGGATACCATCAACAACAGCCTACTGTGGGAGAGAACAAATCAGCTTCCAGATGAAGAGGAAATTAGGAAAAGACGATGGAAATGGATAGGACATACATTTCGGAAATCACCAATCTTCATCACGAGGCAAGCTCTACCTTGGAATCTTGAATGGAAGTAACAAAGAGGATGTTCGAATAACACACTGCGTCAGGAAACGGAAGCAGATATGAAAAGAATTGTTAGCAACTGGAAAGAATTTCCCAAAACAGGGTTGGATGATGAGTGCTGGTGGGTGTCTTATGCTGCTCCGCGAGGGCTAACATGCGTAAGTAAATAAGTAATGTGATTAGATAGTATGCTTGTTAAAAAAAGAAACTACTGATAGCTTCTTTATTGACTAATTCAATGTTCTCATTTCGTAGAAATGTTCAAGTTTTTTAGATAGTACAATGAAATACCGAACTTTTGAATGAACTCATATAATACAGCGATTTTACTATTTCAGTCATGATGTAACTTGTCTATTTAATTTAAATAAATAATTTTAATCCATTCTTTTATCATTCCCTCTTCTTTAAGTGTTATAATGCTTATCAATAGCTTGTATTTGCATTGTGAATTCTTATGTTTCATAGAATATCAAAGTTGCAGCTGAAGAAGCCTTTGTGAAAAGAGCTGAAAATGAACCAATTGGGGTTAGTTCATAATTTATGTGATGTGATTTACAAATTGATGGAGACTATTAAGTATTTAGTTTGATAAATCTGTTAAACACAATTTTGTTAACTTTATAGTTGGACTTTCTCAGACCGTTGGAGCTGTATGTAATTTACTTTTGTTGTAGGGAAATAGTTTGTTTCCACCTGACACAGATTAGCTCCTAGTGTGGAACTCTTCAGCAGTGCGCATACACGATCCCACTCAGGGCCTTCGGTCTCGCGCGCGAACGCTTAATCTCTAGACCACTGAGCTGGCCATTACCTGAAGGTGTTTATGTCTAGCCTCAACCAATCCACGAAATTGCGCGACCATCTTTCATTGTACTGAGGTAGATACCTGTCTCTACCTGACACACATTAGCTCCACTGTTCACGGTTTCTCACTAGAACTCCGGAAATTTCCTCACGAAGCATATGGTAATTATCAGTATGGGGTTGTGGAGATTAAAAATATAGTAATCTCCACAACCTCATACTGATATATAAATTTGACACGTGAATAATAAACGAAGAGTAAACTAAGTAGTTGTAGTTGAGTATTATCGTAAAGTAAATACTATGAATGCAAACTGTGTTATCAGGAAATGTACAGGTTAACTAAGACTGTTGATTTCCTTTGTATCCATATATATAATAATCCCCCCCCCCTCTTTTTCCTATTCGGTCAACACTGTTGAAGGAATTACTTTTGTTATGTACTACAAATGTTTAATTCACGTTTGAAGGTGAATATTTTCGATAAGTTGATGATGTAGCTATGGCTAGCCCTTTGAGGTCTATCTTAGCTGATATTTTTATGTCATATATTGAAAATATGACGAGTAAGTCCATCAGAGAGGCAACTTTGTATAGAAGATACATGGATGATATATTAGTGATATGTAATAAAGATTTTCAGGTTTCCCAATTGCTAGATAAACTCAATGTGGTACAGAACGATATGGTCATGACCTATGAAGCAGAAAATAATGACCAATTGCCCTTTTTAGACATACTTTTTAGTTGAAGAGGAGGACGAAGCTATGAGACGGTTAGTTTATAGGGAACCAACTTGGACGGGGCAATATTTAAATTTCCATAGTTTCTGTCCATCGCAATACAAGCGAGGCTTGATCAAGTGCCTCTTTGATAGGATTCAAAGAATATACAGCACTGATACTTTTGACAAAGATAAAAAGCTGCTGACTGACACGTTAATATCAAATGGTTATTCATTCTTTCTAATTCTTATTTAGTGTTATTACAGAGCCAAAGCATTGACCATTGTTCCTCCATTGACTGAAACCGATAATTGTAGTATATGTGCAAAAGTCAGTCAACACTAAAACCTGTCCTTTATTCTGTTCCGACGAAAACAGTTTATATCTATCTATCTATCTATCTATCATATAGAGGTGAATCCAATAGTATGGTTTTAAGACAGAGATTGAAAGCATCCATCGAGAAAACCTATTATGCTGCTAAATTGGTTATGATTGAAAAGACTAAGCCCATGATTCCAAATAGACCTAGTGAATGCATGAATGATTACGTCACATCTCATTACATCTACCAATATACATGTTTATACGGACACACATACATAGGGAGGAGTAATCGAACAATGCAATCAAGGGTCATGGTACATGTACCTAGATGTCTTCAAAACCTGTTAATGTGGGAAGTAGAAAACTATGTTCATTGATAGCAAAGCAAATAATTGAAACGGGCACAGAATTAAAATCAATACAGCTTTTAAAAATTGTCAAAAACGAATTCTCAGGTTTATCGAAGCCTTGACCGTTCGTAAATTTACCCCCCTACGCTATGTGTACAAAAACGGTTTGTCATCGTAATCTGACAGTCGTTAAGTCATCCTTAAGTCAAATAATTTCCTATTCTGTCTATATGATGTTAGTTTTTTCCCTCCCCTTTACTACTTTGTTAACTTGTTATTTGAACTTTTATTGAATTGACCTTTATTAATCTTCATACAATATGTCCTGAGAAGTGTATATTTGTGAACAGATTGTTCGAAGTCTGTAGTGTAAATACATCACATTTTTCAAATCAACTGTATCTTATCATTACTCTATCGAAATTTATAAAAGGGACCAGTTACTTCAAGAGGTATTTCCTGGAGTTCTAGTGAGAAGCAGTGACCAATGGAGTTCAACCAGGTCTATTGTGAGATAGTAACTGACTGAAGACAATGATGAATGTGTCGCTCAATTTTAGAGGATTTTGTTCATCACAAGCTAATATTAGAAAAATAGTTTTAGTCATAGATCCCTAATCCTTTACACCTTAATGACGAACATAGTCCCACTTCACATAGGCTGCAGTCTAGAATCGGTAATTCTTTTCAAACTGCTTATCACTTTTCAGTTAGACAAGATTAATCCGCTCTTAAATTTTAGTCAATTGCTGATTTCATTAGTTTATCAATCAATGTCGAGTTTGAACATCCACCTGAGTTTCAGGCTAAGATAAATCTATAGTGTCGGTTGTTATGTTAAGCTCACATAACTTATTCTAGCTTCCGGACAGGCTAATTTATTCGTTCATCTTGAATCACATTTTGACCTTGTTAATTATTCACTTATCAACGTCAACTGGTTTTAGATGAACGTATGTGTGTGCACATCATATCCTACTCATCACATGTCTGTAGCTTATTTTTATATGGCTATGAATACCGATTAACGCTCGAGTAAATCGAGTTGGATCACACGCCTTCTCCGCTGTGCGTTATTTCGCTTCGCCCCCATTATTCCGCTCTCTTCATTCTGTTCTCTTTGCTCCGCTGTCTTCACTCCGCACTCTTCGGTCCACTGTCTTTGCTCCGCTCCCCTCACTCCACTCTCTTCGCTTCTCTGATCGTTTGTCCGGATCAACGATTGCATAGAATATATGTATTCAAAATCCATTCTCGTATTTGATTTATTTAATCCCGTCATTTACAAACGCGAGTTAAGTCGATAATGATATGCGAGGATAGACGATATGTGTATTTCAATAACAATCATTCATACGATCGACCTGAAGTCAGATATTCGAGGGCCACTAAAAAATCTACCGTTTTGATGATTTCCCGTTCGATAAAGTAGATTTCAAAACAGTCAAATTTGTACTAACTTACTGAAATGAATCATTTTTTTTTTAAAATACTCAGTGAATTTTATCATTTCTTTCTAATTCTCATTTAGTGTTATTACAGAGCCAAAGCATTGACCATTGTTCCTCCATTGAATGAAACCGATAATTGTAGTATAAAATTTTATATACCATTAAAACAAAGCCCTCATTATGATAATCAATATGTGTGTTACAATTTTTCAGTTGCACATGTTCCAACTAATGTATATGATCTGTGTAAGTTTTATTTATACTGATTTCATTCATATCACCAATATGCAATTTTAGAAACTGATGGATTTTGTTGAAATCACGATCTGATCTAAGTTAGAGAACTACTGGAAGTACTGGACGGATGTTTCATCGTCGTTTGGTGGAGCTCTTGAGCAGTGTGTGCATGACTCCGCAAGCAATTATTGAACCTAGGACCTTCGGTCTCATACACAACCGCTTAACCTCTAAATCACTGAGCCGGTATCTAATGATGTTAATGTCTAACTTCAATCAATCTACGACATTGAATGATCATCTTCAATTACCTTCGGTGGGTAGCTGGCTCAATTCAAAAAGAATTAAATATTTATCACAGTCCTTGTGATTGTACTGATGGGTTTTTCAAAACGAATAATTTTTAATTACAAGTCAGCAATAGTCGAAAAACTTTGAAAGTATAAAAAAGTTGTCTTGCTCTAGTCCAAAGCTTCTTAATAATGTCAGTCATCAATATATTCGAGATTCATTTGTAATACAGCCTAATGAACTCAATTATATTGTCAAGACAGACTTTTGCATACGTTCTAAGCGTATAGCGTAAATATATCACATTTTTCAGATCAACTGTATCTTATCATTACTCTATCGAAATTTATAAAAGGGACCAGTTACTTCAAGAGGTATTTCCTGGAGTTCTAGTGAGAAGCAATGACCAATGGAGTTCAACCAGGTCTATTGTGAGATAGTAACTGATTGAAGACAATGGTGAATGGTGGCTCAATTTCGTGAATTGTTTAAAATTAGACATTGACACCATTGGATGTCAACTCAGTGATTTAGAGGTTAAGCGTTCGCACGCGAGTGGGATCGTAGATGAGCACTGCTGAGGAGTCCCATACTAGGACGAAACAGTCGTATAGTGCTTCCAGGTTTCCCATGGTGGCCTAGCTTCAATTAGCTTATGAAGTCATCTATTATATAAAATAAGATTGATTGTAAACTTTTAACAATATCTGATAGATTCTAATCAAGAAACATGATTGACTAATATTTATCTATAACAGCTACAGGAATTAATGTGATTTATTGATCTAGTCATTATATTTTATACTATGAGCCTAGCAAACGAATTCCCCAGCAGACAATATCTAGGTCTATGTTGATGCTCTTATTGAAATTAGACTGGAACACTTAATTCATGAACTGTCGGAAAATGGTCCACTAAGATTAAGACTTTCAATCATACAATAACTAATAAATGTTGGACACTCTTACTAATCATTACCAAATACAATCAATGTATAATCAAAACCATCACGGTGAGACTATAATTTATGGACGATTTTGGAGCGGCACCACAATGACCTTGAGTGTCCATCTAATAACCAGAACCAAATGAGGGTGTTAAGCCAGTGTGTGATGAATTAGAATTATGATTTACTGTTGATGATTAAGGTTAGGAGTTAGATTTCGGGTTTTCATCACAAACTGACATCAGCTATAATGCCATGAATCTCTTTGACCAAATGGATGAATAAATTTCGCGCCAAAATCTAAGACCTGTTATCTTATACTAGATTGGTTCGTCTATAAATTATAGTCTCGCCAATGAAACGAGTACAATTTTACTTTACATAATCTATTCTCCTCAGAACTTTATTTTGAACAACTACTCTATATCTGGCCCCCAGATGCCCTAGTACGGCTAAGAATGGGGGAGAGTCATCTCTCCCTCTCCAAATGCTCTCATATGACCACGTGCATACAACCATTACCAGGGAAGTCTTACTCACTGCCTTATCGCTGTATTACTGTTGTTTACGGAATTGAGAGGACGAAAAGTGAATGTCCGGCGCTTAAACCGGGTTGGTGGATACGGAGGATCCACCTAGGAGAGTTGAAAACCCTGATTCCAAACAAATGGTTCACATGGATTCCAGGATTCTGAAGGAACAAATGGTGTATGAACCAATCGTTGGTTACCGGCTACCATGGGACAGCATTTCTTAACGTTGCTGCACTGCCTTGTTGATCAGACCTTTAGGTCGAAGGCTCCGGGTGTAGCTCTCTAAGAAAACCACCTACTTCAGTTTGGGCACCCGAGCAGTATTCCGGTCCTCACATAAATCGAATGATTTATGTGGCACATATCTATTTGGTGCTTCCTTGTACCAATGTTTGTGTGTTTCAATAAATAACTCTATCACAGACTTTTACATTGCTGAAATTTCTTAAATGTGTTTTGTAGCAGATAAACTAAAACGAATTGGTAATTGGACTACTGAACTGGATAAAGTATTCAAGTTAAACGCTGAATCTGATCCAACTTTAAAATGGCAATACTTTGGGAGTTCAACAGGTTTTTTCAGATATTATCCAGGTACATTTACTTTTATATTATATATTGTTAAGATTTAATGGATGTAAATTACATTATAGAAATCAAGTATCAGGCAACGCTAGATAGTTGTTCGATTGTGGTTTGAGAATCTTTAACACTGCACAATTGCAAACGCGAACTAACAGAGTGATTTTAGATAGTGAAAATACTCCTGCAATAATTGCTCGAAACTTGATGGTTCATCTTGTTCGATGATTAGAGATAGTCAGCAGGAAACAATAGACCTAGGTTTTGTTCCAGTTGGTACTTTCAACAAGTCACCTGTAATATTAAGGAGAATCAACAAGCATGACATCGGTTACTATTAGGTTATCAATCAATTGTAAGTATCTCAGTCGTACTGCAGGTTAATCACTGACCGAATATTTCAATAGTAACATCTCATAATCAGAAGTTGGATGATATAATTTTGAATTTATCAAGGACTTTGAGTTCTCTCAAGATTGAAGATGCACTCTTCTGATGAGTGCCGACTATCACGAAACTTATGTTCATGATTCCCTTCCAAATATATGCAATCAACTAACATTTGAACATACTGTACGCAATGTGGTGTCACTTGAACTAGTGGCTGAAATTGCGACTAGATAAATAGCGTTCGATCAGCACTAACGTACTAGACAAACAAGCACTGGTCAATTTTCGGTGTTTAATCGCTTTTAGATGGTTCATCTTCCATAATTTAAGTGAATTTGTGGCCTAACCTGACCATTATTAGAGATTTGCAGCATTCAAGCTATGTAGAATATCCTTTAAAGTCGGGGTATGTGGATAATTAGATCACTGACTAGTAACCCAACAGTTATGTGCCTCCAAAGAGCTGAGAGTCCTCAGTCTGACCTTCATAAAATGAATAGTTCTTTTGCTTAAAGCGTCAGGGCCAGAACTAAGCGGCTGATGCCAATCATACTTCTTGCTTGATTCTGGGATATTCAAAATTGTGACTAAATAGTCTGTCTGTTAAGTATCTGGTTGAAGTGTAATCGTTTAGAATGCACAACTATCAATCCACATTAATTCAATACACAGTTTAATACGGAATGAATAGTCAGCTTTAAAATCCTGTTATCACTTAATAGCTGTGAATAATTAAAGCTGATTTCCAAAACAGGCTTCTCTTTATAAGCAAATATGGATAGCTGCTAGCAGTAGGATCCAGGACGCGCGTTTCATCCTATCTGGGACTCGTCAGTTGGTTGTGCCTGCATCCCAGAGTTGATGTTCACTTAGGGACTCGAACTTAGTAGAGTTCGCTTCAAATGCCATCGGGTTATCCACTAAGCTATTGAGCTCTGATAGTCACTTGGTTGTGCAATGGAATGAAGTTTAAATTCACTTGGTATTGTTAACCTGAATCTTCCCATTGATGTTTAGAACTGATATTGATCAGTCTCTTATTGGTCTATATTATTATTAGTTTAATACATAGATTACAGTTGTATGTAATATCTTTCATACCTTTGATAGAAGTGTCAAATTTAAACATATAACACTCATAAATCTTTTCCTTAAAATGGTGAAGGAAACATTAATGTGTATTTATTGAAGGATCCTATCAATCCATATCAACCATAACAAACATGCAAGATGTGCTTAGGAAGATGAAATTGTTTTGCACTATAGTATACTACTTAAACATGTGAATGATTTCACTGGATATAAGCCAGTTTACTTTATGAAGTATACATCTAGATGGCAAGTAATCTATAGTTAGATATGTTGCGTTTTGGTATTCTTTGACACGAATCTGAAAAATACAAGTGAGGATAGGAGTCAGAGAAGGCTGTTTACTCTCCCCCCTCTTCTTTCTTCTGGTGGTCGACTGGGTTATGAAGACTTCGGCATCTAAGCGAGAGCGCGGAAAACAATGGACAGGTTGGATGCAACTAGTTGATCTCGACTTCACAGATGACCTGACCCTTCTATCCTATACACACGAACAAATGCAGATGAAGACAACTAGTGTAGCTGCACACTCTACATCAGTAGGCCTCAATATACACAAAGGAAAGAGCAACATCCTCAAATGCAACACGGATAATACCAATCCAATTACACTTGATGGCGAAACTCTGAAAGAATTGGAATCTCCCACGTACCTGGGAAGCATCATCGATGAACGTGGAGGATCCGATGCGAACGTAAATGTGAGGATTGGTAAAGCAAGGGCGGTATTTGTACAGTTAAACAACATATAGAACTCCAAACAACTGTTATCCAATATGAAGGTCAGAATCTTCAACACGAATGTCAAGACAGTTCTACTGTACGAAGCTAGAACTTGGAGAATCACTTTGTGTCAGCAAATGAAAGCAGATATGTAAAGGGTGAATGACAACTGGAAAGAACTTGCAAGAATTGCCTACGACAAGGTTGAATGGAGAGTGCTAATGGGTGGCCTATGCTCCTCCCTGAGAGTAATAATTTCATTCTTAAAGAACTATATTCAGTTAAATCACCTACCTCTTACTACTTTCAAGTGGGTTAGTCGTACATTAAGGAATACTTTTTGTTGTTGACATGTTTACATATTATCAAATGGACAACGACTAACATTGAAGATTAGTTTTTCCTTGAATATATTTCTTACAATAGCTTGTGACTTAAGGCTATATCGAGGCAATCCTCAAAGGATGCACATATGTCAACATGAGACTGATCGATTGCATTCTTAAATAACAATGGGAAGATACAAGTAAAACAACACCAAGTGAATTTACAATAGTGTCTAGTTAGCTTTAACTGAAGTCAACTTTATTGTCATTCATAAGGATAAGGATGTACAGAAAGTAGTTTCTACTGATTTGAAGGAATCATATTTATTACACACATGTAACATCTTTCATTTATTCTTTTTTTTTTCTTTACAGGTGCTATGTGGGATATTCAGTTAGATGAATATCGTTTAGATTTTTTTGATTGCCGTTCTCAACCTTGGTGAGTTATTTTATCAATGACAGTATCGTAGGTTTCTATCTGATTGTAGAACTATATAAGGTTTCTAGCATCGAACTATTCTGATCACTGAACTATGTCTTTCATTTAGTGAACTATACTGAAGTTGGATAAAGAATTGAAATTGACTGATGAAATTTGAAATCCTAAAAAAAGGCATTTGTTGACCATGATCAGTCATAATTGCCTTGTTACTGAATTTTTTTGGTTTGGTCATCTAATTAGATTGCATGATCTGATCTTGAATCAGTAGTCGTACTAGATCAGACCTAGATGAGTTTCAGTTTAAGCTAAATTACTAAGACATGACAACCGATTTGGTGTATATGAAGTTTAAAAATCAACTGATCGTATGTTCTTCATTTATATCACTTGATAAACATACTATTCTGTTAGTTAAATTTAACTCAAATCCCTTCATAACTAGTTTAGGTTAGGCATTAGCATCGTTGGATTCAGGTTTGGTGGTCTAGAGTTTAATCGTTTGCGCGTGAGACCGAAGGCCCTGAGTTCGAACCCCTCGAGCGGGATCTTGGATGCACACTGCTGACGAGTCCTACAATAGGACTAAACGGCCGTCGAGTGCTTCGAGGTTTTCAATGGTGGTCTAACATCAATCGCTTCATGATCTCAATAAAAAAAATCATGATGATTTGTTTCACATCTACATTTCATAACCCAGTGAGTTGATAACTTTCATTATCCATTGGCTTTATCAAGAAAGTAATGGGACTCATTCACTGTTACGAACTTTTCTAGTTTACTCACAGGTTCTGAACTCTGAGTTAATATGATTCAACACATTATCACTATGTATTAAATAGTGTAGTGAACGAGGACAATCGAATGTATTTGAACAAACAAGTTACAGAATATCTTAGTAAAGTCTGAGAATCATGCAGTAAATACTTCATTTGCAATATGTCACTAAATCGTCTCATACATCATTGTTCTTTCTTTACCACATTAATCGTTCTTTGTTCTAGTTCTCTGTTCTCGTTCTCTTTCTTCGATCTTCTTAACCTTCTGCCTCCAGGCATTTCACATTCGATTGATGATACATACTACTTATATCTGTTGGCATCAGTAGCACACATCATAATAGTAATATGTCATTTAAAATATCTGATTGTTTTAATACATAAATACTTTGAAATGGATTCATGCTTGTTCAATATAAAGGATAAGCATTCAATAAATCGTAAGGTGAGGTCTATTATTAAGAAATATACTCAGTTATTGTTTCTAGCAAAATGAGTATTAAAAAGATGGAAAAAATACCTTATTGATGACACGTAAAGATTACATAAATCTTGTTTGAAACCTGTTAAGGAGATCTAGAAAACTTCTTGAAAATACTCAAAGAAAGGCTCTGAAAACACTCAGAAATATCTTATCCAATCAACATTCAGAAACATCTATGAAGTGACAAGTCACATGTCGTGTTTGTGATTGGACGATTATCTATACTGCTACTATGTTTAGTAGTGTTCTGGGATATCCTGAAAACCCAAGGCCATCTTAAATACTATAAAAACCTTAGATCTTCTGTACATGAAAGAATCTTTGGAGTAAAGTTCCTCTTCTACATTTCGTACCATTCCTCTCGTGTTCAAGTTACTGTGTAGATCTAGCCATGATGTTACTAGATTTTAGGACCTGGATCTAGCGTTCAATTAGAAGACTTATCGAAATCAATTACTGGCAACAGTAATTTCGTAATCTTAGATTTGTAAAATATCAGTAAATGAAGATCACTTCTCAGTTTCAATCTTTTCTGATATCGTTTTGTTTATTCTATCAATTTATTCATTTTGTTGTAAAAAAAGAAATAGAGAGTATTTCAGCAATGAAAGTTTGATGAGACTGTAACTTATAGACGACCTTTAAGCAACTCTAGACTGACCTTGAGAGTGTCCACCTGATAACCAGTATCAAATGGAGGTTATAATCTAATGTGAAGAATACGAATTATGGTTTAAAGTTGATGGTTAAGATTAAGAATTAGATTTAGAGTTTACATCACGAACTGACATCAGCTATAATACCAAAACTCTATTTAGTTAAATGGATGAGTGAATTTCGAGCCAAAATCCGAGACCTGTTAACTTATAACTGATTGTGTCGTCCATATTATATTATAGTCTCACCGAAAGTTTCCTTCCCAGAGTAATGACTTTTGTACAATTATGTAGACAAATTTCAGTGATAAATCAATGGTAAATATGAACAGATTGAGAGGATTCGGAGAGTTAATAGTGTAGACTTGCATGAGAAATGAAATGTAGAATGTTTGTCGAAGAAAAGTTTCTAGAAAATAAGAAATTTATGATTCTGTGTTCAGTAACCTAGTTAAGATTGGTTTTATTTATATGTTAAGTCAATTTGTTAAAAATGATGACTAAGAATTCCTATTTTTGTGATCTGATGTTTGGATTCTTGTGGGAACGAGGTTTTTGAAGTAACACTGGTAAAACATTCATAAATAAGCAAAGATGGATAGTGGCTAGTAGTGGAATCCAGTTTGACGCGTGTTTCCTCCTATTTGGGACTCGTCAGCTCGATGTAACTGCATCTCTGCAACTTGAACCCAGTACCGTTCGCTTCAAACGCCATCGCGTTATTCACTTAGCTACTGAATCCTGATAGCCACCTGTTTGTACAATTGGGTGAAGTTATATTCACTTGGTGTTGTTTGCTTGTATCTTGCCATTGTTATTTAGGACTTCAGTTGTTCAGTCGCTTATTGGCATATGTACATTTTGTACGTACTGCATCGATATTGCCTGAAGTCACAAGTTTTATAGTAATCATAAATAAGGTAACGATAACTTGCAAAGCCACGGCTTTATTTGAAAATCGACATTCGTCATTTAGTCGAAAAACTTGGATACGATACAACTACTTTTGATGGAGCTTTGTTCTCTGAACCGGATGGTTTGGTCGTGGAGATTTCATCATTCTTCTGAATGACATCATCAACACAAATTCTCTACATGTGGACAAGCTATGAACCACGTGTGGAGAATTCGAACACTTCACTTCTGTCTGAAGTTTGTGTTGGTGATTTCGTTCAGAAAAATGATGAAATCTCCACAACCAAGCCATCCAGTTCAGAGAATAAAGCTCCATAAAAATCATCCACCTGAGCTACAAATCTCCATCTTCTCACAATACAACTGCTTCTTCAGTCAGTTAAGCGGTTATGCACTACAGTGATAAAAATTCATCTTAATATATATTTCGTATAAAACTCTTTAAACGAGAGGTTTGAGCATAAATTTGTAGAAGATTAGTCTGAAATGAAACTCATTATAATCAGAGAGGGGCTTTGTCAATATTATAGCAATTTAATAGTTGAATTCATGAGTCATTTGAGGCTGGACTAGCATGGAAAACTTAGAAGCACTGGAAGGCCGTATGGCACTCAGCCGTGCTCATCCACGAACCCATCACACGCGATCCGAACCCAGGACTCACCGGTCTCGCTCGCGAGAGCTTGACCTCTAGACCACTGTGTACTCGAATCTCACGAGGCGGGATTGTGGATGAACACTGCTGAGGAGTTTCACAATAGGACGAAACGGCCGTCCAGTACTTCCCGGATTTCCATAGTGTTCGAGCTTCAATTAACTCATGAATTCGACTCTTAAAGAAACTCATTATGTTTTCATAATAATGAATTCATATTTAATTGTATCCTAATGAGTAGAAAAATTGTATTTCTGGCATTTCGTAACTTAATATAAGTCACTTCTTTAGAATAAATGTTCGTTGTTGGTTTTGTATATTTACTCGATCAGGTATTTACAAGCATCTGCTTATCCAAAAGAGATGATAATTTTAATTGATAAAAGTGGTAGTATGAAAGGAAGAAGTGATATCATATCGAATGCTACAGCGGCTGAGATACTTAATACATTAACAGAAAACGATTATTTTAATGTGATGATGGTAAGTTATATTGTTATGTAACCGTAAATTTAAACAAATCTAGTTGAATTCATGAGTTGATCTAAACTAGACCACCATTGAAAACCTGTAAGTACTGGATGATCGTTTAGTCTTAACATTGAACTCCTCAATAGTGCGTATCTACGATCCCACTTGCAAGACTCCAATCCAGGACCTATTGGGATCGCGCACGAACAATTTACGTCATGAATTCAACTAACAAGATTACTATAATTTACACCCCCCCTATTTTGATAATATTCTGAATTAAACAGAGATTATTACCAGCTTTATAGTGGGATTTTCACTTCTTTGAACTTTCTACTCTGAAATTCAATTAACAAACTATTAACGATTTAATTTCATTGTTCCTTTTATGTTTCGTTTCCGTTTTTTCTCATAGTTTTCTGATAGTACAATGTACGCTGATCCATTGATTACTGACAGATTAATTCAGGGTACCAAATTCAATAAAGATGTAAGTTACAATGTATTTTCAAGTGGTCTAACTCTCTCTATCGTCAATTTCCTCTATCTCAAATAATACAGTTACAGATCAAAATTAACGCGATATATTGGTGATGTTGTTAATGGTGTTGTACTACTTATTATGTAGTAGTAGTAGTATGCTTAATTTGCAGTCTTTTTAACATTTTCTTTTTATGTCAGCAAGATTCAAGGTTTTAGGGTGATTATCTACGCCAAACCAATCACATCGTTTTGGAACGTCAAGTCATCTAGCTTAGAGTTGATAATCCACCACTAAGTGAACTGCTAAAATAACCGACAAATGATTATTCTTTCTGAATACTCATAGATAACCAACTGATCTACTGTACTGACTATCAATCTGTGACAAGAGAAGTCTTTATGAGTCTAACTGAGATTTTATTTGAACTGTCTCAGTTCACAACATCCTTCGATTTTCATGTTAAAGCTACCCTTTAATGAACATATAGTGCTTATTCGATAACCAAGAGTTGTGATCAGGTTTATTTTGTACTTTAGAGGTACAAGTCTAAGGAAGTGTATGTACTACCCTGCCCAGGTATTTTTTCTGCTGTAGAATATATATGTGAACAACTCAGCGAAAAAGAAACCGAAACTACAATTCCAGTGACGCTGAGGCCATAAGATGAATTACCTAGAATAACTAACTCTGTTATATCCTAGTGAAGATTACGAGTAACGTCTGAGACCCATTAATGGAATAATTTTATTTATATATTCTTATGGTATAACTATTCAGTAACTAGATTATGTATATCTATATTCCCCTTGTAATAAGCTTTATTTTGACTTATATATTATTATTGTACGATTTACTGTTCTTAAGCTACGTTCAGTTTATTGACTACTGCCTCCCACGTTCACAGCCACTTTTTGGCTTGATTGTGTACAAATGTTATTTCCTATTTTATGGTGCGTTGCGATCTGTTTGATTGATATATAAACCCAGTATGTCTGAAATAAATGTTTCGATTCGATTCGCATAATGGAAGCTGGTATTGGTGTTGTGGACTCAAGTGGACGGGCTAGGCGAACATAGGGCCAATAAGGACGCTAGGCTGCTCATACCGATCGGACGTCATTGGGTTGGCACAGTGTTAAGATTGTATAAGTCGTATTTTGATTGGTGGATAAATCACGTGATAACTAGCCGGGCATAAAGTCATCATAACCCCGTTTTGTGTTTATCAATTCAACTGCTACTGTGGAGCAAGTTATGCTAGGTATTTACATTTTCGTACTCATGAAAATCTCCTTATGTAGCTAAGTAAAGGTCTGCTAAAGAAAGTGAATAGCTTTATATTAACTCATTTAATGTGTTATTTATCGGGTCCTTAGTTTTTTGCCAACGCCTGTCAGACTCAAAGTCCTTTAAACAGCGGAAGCAGTAGCCATTTGGATTAAGAAACTGGGGCTATTTGTACAAAAGAAATATCTTCAACTGCTTCTCCTACCTTGGCCAAACTCAGGGCAAATTAACTATTAGTGATCTTAAATATTTAATGACCTTTTGTGGAAAAATATACTTGTCTCTATCAGTATGGAGATTATTAAATTTTTGATTGAGATCATAAATCGACTGATGTTAAACCACCATTGAAAACCACCTTTTGTCGATCATTAATTTGGATATATAATTGTAGAATCTGAAAAGAATTTATTGAAAAGTGTTGAGAAGGTCCAGAAAACTCCTTGAAAAAAAAACAAAGAAAGGCCGTGAAAACATTCAGAAACATCTTATCCAAACAGTATTCACTAGACGTTTCGCCAGAAGCATCTAGAACGTGAAAAGTCACATGTCCCGTTTTTGATTGGATGATTACCTATACTGCTACTATGTATAGTAGCGTTCCAGGAATTTCCGGAATCTCATGGCCATCTAAAATGCTATAAATATCCTAGATTTTATGTACATCAACGAACTTTTCAAGTAAAGCGTTTCTTCCATTTTCCGCGCCTTTCTTCATGTGTTCAAGTTGCTGTATAGATCTAGACAGGGCATTACTGTAAGAGCTTAGAAACCGAATCTAGTCTTCAGTCAGAAGACTGATCAAGAAAATTATTCTTTGTTCAAATATCTATGTTTTAATAATTAAGTATTGACAATAGAAGATTTAAAAAATTCTATTCTATTTTTCAACTTCATAGAAAATGATCAAAACTTTTCGAAAATTTAGTCCAAATGGAACAGCTTCTTATGAGAATGCAATAACAGAAGTTTTTAAACTGTTCAATAAGGTAATCAATTTTCTATGTAATGTGAAGTACTTCATTCAGGTATTAGAGAAAAGTATAGTTTTTCAAGCAACAAAATGCCCTGGTACGGCTAAGAGTAGAGGAGGGTCAGCTCTCTCCAATTACTCTCAAGTGGCGACATGCATACAACCACTGCCACAGAAGTCTTACTCACTGCCTTCTCATGGTATTACTGTTGTGTACGAAACCGTGTTGGCGGACACGGAGGGTCCATCTAGGGAGATTGGAAAACCCTGATTTCAAACCAATCGTGCACATGGCCTCCAAGATCCTGAAGGAACAAATGGCGTATGAACCAGTCGTTGGTCACCAGCTACCGTGAGACTGCATCTCCTTACGTTGCTCCACTGCCTTGTGGATCAGGCCTTTAGGTCAAAGTCTCAAGGAGTGGCCTCTTAAGAAGACCGCCCGTTTCGGTTTGGGCACCCGGGCAGTATCCAAGCCCTCATACAACTCTAATGATTTATGTGGCGCTTATGCATTTGAAGCCTCCTTGTAGTAATGTTTATGTGTTCAGATAAAAAATCATTGTTCATTACATTTAGCCTCTCGTCATTAAAATAAACCGTTTGAAAATATAAAATTAAACATTTAGTTTAGTAGTTGAATTCATCAGTCAATTGAAGCTAGACCACCATGGAAAACCTGGAAGCACTGGAAGGTCTTTTCGTTCGATTATGGAACTCCTCATCAGTGCACATTCACGATCCCGCCTCGCGAAATTCGAACTCAGGTTCATCTTTAATTGACTTATGAATTCAATTACTAAATTGCTATAATATCCATAAAACCCTTCTCTGATTATATAAACATTTAATGTCTTTCAGATCTATTGTCAAGTGAAAGATGAAAAATATCCGAGTTCACCTTTGTTGATCGGTTATCAATTGTATCTTAGTACATTTTGTATTGTTTGTTGAATTTGACTTTTGTACGTAGGTCACCAAACTAAACAAAACTATACTGTACTTGGTTTTGTGTCTATGATGTTCAATCGCTGTAGGTCCATCATCCAAATATAAGGTAGTATAAATTATAAAAACATACTCACAAACTGGAAGAAATTAAATGCTCTATTTTCGTATTCAGCTCTCTGTGAATCATTAAAGGAATTGATTTATTTATAATCCCATACTGTAGAACCGGTAGAGGATTTCATTGGTATACCTACTACAATCACCTACATATTAGTTATGACTGGAGTAGTTCATTGAAACTATCTCTGAATAGTATCAAATTCATATCGTTCAGCAGTATTAGTAGTCAGTTCATGGTGCTTTATGACAATTATCATATCTCTTGACATAATATGGTTACTTCTCAATAAATGATTGTGTTATAAACTTAGGTATGACAGTTATGGTTACAGATGATCAAAGGGTATACAAGCATATCTAATTCATAAGAAACGCTCTAGAGAATCTAAACCATTAGATTTTTGAAAGAAAATTTATTCGGGTACATTATCCATGAATATGGTTGAAACTGAGTGGAAAAGGGATATGAAGTTTACTCGATTCTATCATCCTCTTGCTTATTATAAACATTATGTCTTCTTGGGTTTAGCCTTCTTTGACAGGCGTATCGTACTTAGGCTAACCGTAAAACACAAAATATCTCAACTATTATTATATTAACATATTGTGATTCTATTTGAAGCAAAGTTTTAATAGTAGCCAGCGCTGAAATTCATGACTCTTGTTCGATTCCATTTACGACTAATCAGATGGATCTGTACAAATTCCAGTGTTCATGTTCACACTGAGACTCAAACCGAATTCTATGAAGTTCTTAATCAAACATTTTTGTTTCTTATTTAAACAGACTGATGAAAATTTTCCTTCAAATCACAAATGTAATCGAATGATCATGATTATTACAGACAGTGCTCCAGGTTCATATGAACATCTATTCAAAGAGTTTAATCCACAGGTAAGTGGATAGTTTAGATCTTTTGATTCAAAATAAATTCCTATAGTAAGATTAACTTTAGTAGTAAATATGAGTAGGTTTAGATATACATTTACTAGTCGCTTTTGTTAGGCATATACTGCCCCCAAATGCCCTGGTACAGTCGAGGGTGGGAAGAGTTAACTCTCCCCCTTGGAAAACCATGATTCCAAACCAATGGTATACATGGGCTTCACGATCCTGAAAGAACAAATGGTGTATGAACCTTTTGTTGGTGACTGACTACCATGGGACTTCATCTCTTGGCCTTGCTCCACTGCCTTGTGGATCAGATCTTTAGGTCGAAGGCTTCGGGTATGGCTCCTTAAGAAAACCACCTGCTTCAGTCTGAGCACTTGAGCAGTATTACAGCCCATACACAAATCATAACAATTCTGAGAACTAGGTGAAGCTGTAAATGGTAATGAATAAACAATGAACCAAAATGTTTCTCTTGTAGTAAAGAGAAAACAAAAATTGTGTTTCTTGTTTCTAATGTATATAAAAGGTTTAACAACAATAACGGAATGTAAAATCATAATAATAATAATAATAATAATGTTATTAATAATAACGGTAATTACATTGATAATTCACTGAAAAATGTAAATACATGTATAAATTGTGTAAACAATTAGTGATAAACTGAACGAGTCCAACGACGTTGAATATCGTTACACAATTCATGATAAACATCATATGAAACGCATACATAAGTAGAGAAAAACATAATGAATTTATCAATATTAGTAACTCTGCTAATATAGATATCTAACCACATAACAGAAAACGACAAAATAAAGATTAAGTAATGAATTCAATATAACATTTAGGAAAATGTACATATCTTCCTGAACGAGTTGTTTTCGTAGAAGGTAAAGTGGCGGAACTAGGAGTTAAATCTGTGGGAGCTGAAACTTTAGAATCGTCTGTTTTACGAAGTATTGATTTCGTAGAAGTAGGTGAAGAATTATTTGGAAACAAAAGAAGCTGCGTTGTGCAACTACTGTTGTCTTTAGGCGGCTTTCTGCTGTCATGTGTTTCGGACTCTACAAAAGCAGGTTTTATCCTGTCAATTGAAACTGCTCCTTGTTTTCCGCTCTTATTGATTGTAAAATATTTTGTTTGCCTCTCAACTACTTCATACGGTCCTTCATAAGGGTGTTGTAAAGGACATAAATATCATACTCTCAACTTTAATGATGAGCAATTCAACCGATAAGTGGTAATTTAAACAATCAATGTAAATATATTGAAGCGAAAACTCAGGTCAGGGACTCAGTCACTAAACAGGACTATTAAGTTCAGTACACAGCTATAGACTGGATGATCTGTTTCCTTATTCAATTATACCGGTAATTGTTCTCTTAAACTAATTAAAATAGAAATTAAAAGTCCTGGCTAATAAATTAATTCGTATAGTTAATTCAAACTAATGTCTGATCTTGAGAGAGAATGGCTGATGATTAATTGAAACTCAGTAGTTTGGTTATCAAGCCATCAGCAAAAAGATACAAGTGTTTATTAACAGTTGTCTACAAAAAATACTTCGAATCTGTTGACCATAGAATGTCAGCGACAACAAACCAGATTCCAGTGAAGGAAGAAGCACTGGAAGTGGATAGGACATACATTGAAGAAAGCCCCCAGCTGCATCACAAGGCAAGCTCTCATATGGAATCCTCAAGGTCAAAGGAGAAGAGGAAGACCAAAGAACACATTACTCTGAGAAATGGAGACAGACATGAGAAGAATGAATAACAATTGGATAGAATTAGAAAGGAAGGTGGAGGACAGAGTGTGTTTGAAAATGCCGGTCGGTCGCCTATGGCTCCATTGAGAGTAACAGGCGTAAGTAAGTTTGGTTATCAAACCATGAAGAAGGTGACCAAAATACTATTGTTCTAGATCCTACAACAAAACAGATTTACTTCAAACTTATGCACAATCTTCAAACATACAAATTTTCTTGATAGTGTTCTTTAACCTGAAGAATACATGTAAAGCGAAATCTTTTTTTTAATTGCTTATATAGAAAAACGTACGTGTATTCACTTATCTACTTGGTCAGCATTCATCAGCTGAAGAATATGTCCAGGAGCTTGCATGTCTTAATCGAGGTAATTAATTAATTCATCGAAAATTACTTATAACAATTTATAACTGAGAACTGCTGACATACAGTGTTGCAACTAGTTAAATGTTAATTCAAATTTACTGTTATATTGATGATGTCATTACTAGGTTCTAGAATGTGTGATCAAATGAAACTGTATTTACAATTGATTGATCGCTGGGTGATGATCAATGTCATGTATGTCAGGTCCATATTATTGCAGATTTAATCCTATCGACCAAGTTGCAATGTGGCTACTAGTCTAGGTGATTCGACATTGCGTGCACTCTAGTGAGATAAGATAGTGGTTGGAGGTAGTCAACAGGAAATCTTGGACCTAGGTTTCGTACTACTTGACACTTGTCAACAAGGTGTATCTGTAGTTTTGAGGGAACTGATGCCCCCTGGCAGCTTCGACCCCGTGTCACCCAGCTTCGCAGTCGGAAACGTTACTGCTGAGCTAACCGGACCACAATGTCGAGTCACCTAGACGGGTGGCTACATTACAACTTGGTCGATAGGATTCGATCTACACTAATAAGGACCTGACATACATGACATTGATCACCACCCAGCGATCAATCAATTGTAAACAATGAATATTTTAATTCTGTCTTAAAATAACTTATATTTTCACAATAATTAACAGAAACAATGTACTAAACCGTCTAAACGTGTATGGTAAGTGGTCTATGTATACCTCCCCCCAGATAATTCAATCTTCGTTATGGATGTGTTATGTCGAATAGTCATCTTTGTTCACCATATCTAGGTTTACAATAATTGAATCAAATAGTTTAACATTAAGTATTCACGAGGATTGAAACACAAAAACATTAATTTCATTTGAGTAAACATTTTCGGAACTTAATAATGACCCAGTTAATTTTCTTTTGTACAGGTTATGCTGTTAATATTGCCACATTAGCCGATGTAAAGGAAAATGTTTTGGTAAGATATATCCTTAATTTCTATATAGCATCTATTAATTCATTTTAATAGTTGAGATCATGAGTCAATTGAAACTAGATCACTATGGAAAACCTGGAAGCGTACTGCTGAGGAGTCCCAAGATAAGACGAAACGGACGTCCAGTGATTCCAGGTTTTTCATGGTGATCTAAATTCAATTAACTCATGAATTCAACTATCAAAAACTACTATAATATTCATAAGACCCTTCTCTGATTATAATCATCATATGCTCACTAGTGACGGTCAACAAGAGATATTTCCTGGATTTTTAGTGAGCAGTCGTCACCAGTGGAGTTCAACCAGATCTGTTGTGAGATAGTAACTGAGTGAAGATAATGATGGATGTGTCGCTCAATTTCGTGAATTAATTGAAGTGAGACATTAACAATGTTGGATGCCGGCCATCTCAGCGGTATAAACGTTAAGCGTTCGCACGCAAGACTGATATATTTTGGGTTCGAAGATTGCGGGGTGAGATCGTGGAGGCGCACTGCTGTGGAGTCTCACAATAGGATGAAACGGCCGTCTAGTACTTCCAGGTTTTCAATGGTGGTCTAACATCAATCGGTTCATGATCTCAATCAAAACCTTAATAATCTCCACAACCCCATACTGATAAGGATAGTTTCATTTGTAAAATTAGAAAGCCACATTTTATGTATCATATAATACCTTGACCTTCTTAAAAATATACTAATGAAATATACTGGTGAGAAAAGTGAGTAACTAGACGTCACAGAAGCTTGTCTTTATGGCCAACACTTTAAAGCGGTCATTACTACTTGAAGTTAGGTTAATAATCAGTAGTATATATTCAATTAAATTCAGATAGAACTACTTAAATATTGAGGCAATATAAAAAATTGCCAGAATGAAACTTTGGAAGTGATTCAGACAGCTTACGATTGTTTACTTAATCACAATTTCGGTTTTACATAAAGGAATAATCATGCTATTAGTTCAGATATGTCTTTATGTATCTAAAATTGCTTACCTCTGTACTTCACTTAGAACTAGTTATATTTTAAGAGTATTGTAATTTAATAGTTGAATTCATGAGTCAATTAAAGCTAAATCACCGTGGAAAACCTGGAAGCATTGGAGGGTCGTTTCGTCCTAATATGGAACTCCTCAGCAATGCACATCCATGATTCCGCACGCGGGATTCAAACACAGGACCTTCGGTCTAACGCGCGAACGCTTAACCTCTAGAAAACCGAGTTGACATCCAACGGTGTTAATGTATAACTTCAACCACTTCACGATATTGCGTCACCATCTACCATTGTCTCCAGCGAGTTATTATATCACAACAGATTTGATTGGACTCCACTGGTTACGGCTTCTCACCAGAACTCCATGAAATACCTCTTGAAGCCAGTCACTAGTGAGCACATGATGTTTATTATCAGAACGGATTTGGTGGAGATATTTAGTAATTTAATTCCAGTGCTTCCAGGTTTTCCATGGTGATCTAGCTAATAGAGTTAACACAGTTCACTTTTAGTCGTTCTATTACTTTTGTTCTAAGATTAACATGGTATAACTGTTATTAATTTGTGCAAGCTGTATCGAAGCACTTTTTATGAGATTGATCGCAAACAGCATATACATTCAAATTTTTGAGAATAATAATCAAAGAGAAGTCATAGTTCATGGTACCAAGGTGATTAACAACAAAAGTTCACATTAACGTTTAATAAAGGCTGCATCAAACGATAAATATAATGATATTAGAAATGTCAGCTACTGACTTTCAACTTTGTAGCTTGTCTTGTGACCGAAGTATAAGTAAAAAACCCCACATGTGCAAGCTTATGAGGGATTTGAGGACTAAATGAAACATTACTAGTAACTGCGATGGGCTAAGTGAGTATAAGCACACAACATATCTTTGCAAAGGCCCAGACAGCTCATGTATCGTTTCTAGGTGAAGTCATGGTGTTGATGAAACTCGATCATTTCCTAGTTAAGGTCTCAACCTACATGTCTTTAATTAGGTCAGGGGGGACAAATGTACATTATTCAATTCTTCAATTAAATGTTCCTACTCATTTCAGTCATTCCGTTCTCAGTGTGCCTTGTTTATGTAACGAGTGTTTGTTATAACTGGGTTGGATCGCATAATATATCAAGTTTATTGATTATATTCGATGCTTTTGTTATATCTCAACCTGAAACTCAGATAAACAAATCTACGTATTTTTGCTCTTATCTAAACTCTCCGACTTGATAAAGAACTACAAATGAGCAGCGACTTAAATCAGAATGGTGACATCCGTTCATCCCCTGTGGACTCATAGTTAACAGTCTTCAACTATCTTTTATGTTACAGAAATATTGACTTTTTCATTGGGGCCATGATACGATTGATGTTAGAATACCATTGAAAACCTGGAAGCACTGGACGGTCGTTTCGTCCTAGTATGGGACTCGTCAGCAGTTTGCATTCACAATCCCATTCACAGGAATCGTGACAGATCGAATCAGCCGATTGTTTTAGAGTTAGTTTCCGGCTATGATAAAATATTTATTATCCTTTGGCATTATATTTGAACACAGTTGCATCTTTTTGATAAAACACTACATATTGTAATTTCAGAAATATTTGGATATTATTGCACGATCCAATGCCTTACAAGATGACGCTTACTTTACATGGACTGGAGTTACTGTTCGTCAGTTTAATTTAAAAGTAAGCACCTTATTTATAGATGAAAAATCCTTTGCACCAATGTATTACTCATATTTAAAATATAAAGTTCAGTTCTTTCTAGAATATCTGCTACCGCCCGATTATGTTAATATTTGGTTCCTCGTAGTACATGAATTCTTAATTGCTAGATCTCGTTAGGTACTCAAAATATTTAATTAACTATCAATCTTCATGTGTTATTTATTTGAACACATAAATATTGGTACAAAGGAACACCGAATACATATGCGCCACACAACTCACTTGATTTGTATGTGGGCTGTGATACTGCCAGGGTGCCCAATCCGAAGCAGGTGGTCTTTTTAGGGGGTCACATCGGGAGCCTTTGGCCTAAAGGTCTAGTCCACAAGGTAGTGGAGCAACGTAAGGAGATGTCCAACGACTGGTTCATATGTCATTTGTTCCTTCAGGATCCTGGAGCTCATGTGCACCATTGGTTTGGAACGAGGGTTTTCCAACTCCCCTAGGTGAATTCGCCGTGTCCAGCTACCCGATTAAATCGCTGGAAAATTGCTTTTCGTCCTCTCAATTTAGCGAACAACAGTAGTGCCACGAGAAGGCAGTGGGTAGGACTACCCTGACAGTGGTTGTATGAAAGTGACCATGTGAGAGCATTTGGAGAGAGCTGACTCTCCCCATCCTCGGCCGTACCAGGGCACTTGGGGGCTTACATCTGAATTTCTAGACTAATTCAAACTACTATAGTGACCTACTTGTGTTGTCAAGGTATTAATAGGTAGGCTATCCATTCGTGAAATGCATTAATTACATAGATCAACAACAAAATAGTAGATAAAGCTCACTACTGATTAAATTGTACCTTTCACTATTTATCTTGCTAACTGGGATAAATTAATTGTATTCAATCAAACTTTGTAGCTTGTATGGGCTGGTACTATTTCAAGCCCACATAGATTACGCTAGCCTATGGAAAGATCAATCTATTCTCAAGTCACACTTTTACCCTGTCACTTATTCGCTTATCAACCATGACTGTTTTAATTTAAGCATATGTGTGTGCATTTCTTATCTTACTCATTACATCTCTGTAGCTTGTTTTTGTCTGACTATAAATATCGATTCATGCCCGATTAAATTGAGTTAGCTCACTTACACGTCGTTTCGTCTTGCTGCGCATTCCCATCAACAATTGTATTCAAGAATCCATCCTCGTATTTGACTTATTTGATTCTGTTATTCACTAACGCCAGTTAATTCGATGATTATATATACGAAGATTGGCGACATGGGCATTTCGATAACAAGCAGTAAACGATCTACGTAGAGTCAGATCTTGAGCTACTAAAAGTTCTTGTCTGATAGTTGTAAAGTATTTGCTCTAAACCCTCCTGCAAAATAGACTGCTGGCGGTTTGTCCTCATCAATAAGATATCTGTGCTTTGTTAATTACACTTTATAGATTATTTACCAATCTCTCATTTTATTGGTCTTATGATTTAGCATGATATTGTGAATTATTGATTTAGATACACGTCTATTTACCTCTGAATTCAAATTCATATACAGGATGTTCCTTTAAAATATAGCATTATATTACTTCCTTCCTTTCACCTGTGGAGTATAGATCGCCGACCAGCTTTCTCCAACCCACTCTGTTTTGGGCTTTCCTTTCTAGTTCTATCCAATTGTTATTCATTCTTTTCATGTCTGTCTCCATTTCATGACGTAATGCGTTTTTTATTCTTCTTCTCCTTTAGCCCTGAGTATTCCAAGTAATGGCTTGCTTTGTGACGTAGTTGGGTGCTTTCCTCAATGTATGTCCTATCCAGGCATTATATACTAGAATCCAATAAATGTAGCTCAGAATTCAGCATACCAGTCCATACAACCTTGTTTCGTATGGTGTTACATTACAATTATAATATTGACCACTTCACATTAAACACAACTTATTTGAGCTAACTCTTTTGTATTCTTAATAATATTTAGTAGCATACTTTAAACCATAAATAAGTAGTATAGTGAAAAGTTACAAGGAAAGTAAAAGAGTATTTTCCAGGTTGTGACTGAAATGTCAAAAGGGCGGCCAAACCAAAACGTGGCATCAGTTCTTGAAGTCACAAACTTCTAGTCTGAACCATGTTGGTAGATGCAGACTAATTGGTTGGGGTCCGCGCGACAATCGTAACCAATGGTTGGAGACTCTCAGGGACATGGCTCAGAATCGATCACAATGGCGTCGGTGTATATACTCTCTGTCTTCCCTTAATCTAAGAGATTAAAATCGCTTCATATCTTTCTACGAACTAATTCTTTCTTCCTGTACTATATCTCTATATGCAATCTTTCTTTTATATATTACTACCTCTGAATTAACTATTTCTATGAATTTGGTATTCATCTTGTTGTGTTAATGAGTGAGGTATGGCAACTTGGACCGATGCGTTGATGTGTCTGTTCCTACGTTGTAGCTGACTGACTGACTGTTTTTACATAATAATTGTTTTTTTTAGAAACTAAAACCGGAGAATTTCTCAAATCCTTATATCATGGTAAGTTGAAGAAATTAACCCATAACTTTGATCATATGCATTTCTAAACAACTCCCCTCCCCCCAAAAAATCTAGGGACTTTTTTCATAGAGTTGATAAATTTGAGAGGGACGAAAAAAGTATTTGTATAAATTCTGTTGTTTAGTAGTCTCTATGTAAATGATGATAGTTACTGACGAATTTCTTTATTGCAATAAAAGATTTGAAAAATAATTAGTCATACAGTATAGAGTTGTGGAGATCATCACGTTTTTTGATTGAGATCATGAACCGATTGATGTTAGACTACCATTGAAAACCTGGAAACATTAGACGGCCACAATAGAACGAAATGCCCATCCAGTGCTTCCAGGTTTTCAAAGGTGGTCTAACATCAATCGGTTCATTGATCACAATCGAAAAGTTAATCATACCCTAAAAGAGTTGAAATATAAAAGATTATGAACTTTATCATCTATGCCGAAAGAAATGTATTCCTGATTGGCAGAAACTTATGATTAAAGTTGGTAACTACTCAATCTCATCCCAGTTTTTTCCTGACCAACCTTCTAAGATTTCTATACATGGAAGAATTCCGATAGCTAATCGTATCTGATAATATGTAGAATTCATTCGAATGAATCGAGTTACGATAGACATTATACAAGAGTTTAACTAACATCTAACATGAAAGATTAAGGGTGAGTAGGATTTGTATTGAAAGAAGGAATGAACTGGTAGTATGAAAAGAGATAACTAACTCAACCAGTTTGCTTATTTTGTTCCTCTCTATATGGTTTACAACAGATTCTTGTTTTCAGACAACATGAATCCTTATGTTGTCACAAGTATAATCGAAACGGACTCACCATGACTTCAATAAATCATCAGTGTGAATAACACTAACGATAACTAGAGTACTAGTTCATATGGGCTACTAAAAATCCATAATGTTGATCTATGTACCTTACACAAAATATAATTTGAATAATAACAGATAGTAACAACACACTCCGTCAATTAGTACATATTCAAACGGACTGTTTTCATACTACTACTTACAGGTTAGAAATGACAATAATCTGTTCACAGGGTATTTGTTATTTAAGGTAGAAACCAGTGAACCTAACCGTTATACTTATTAATATTTTAATAGTTAAGATCATGAATCAATCAAAGCTAGACCACAATGGAAAACCTGGAAGCAATGGATGGCTTTTTTATCCTATTGTGGGATTCCTCAGTGGCAGTACGCATTCAACATCCCGATATTTGTCAGCAAGGAATGCATGAAACCTCTGTAAACCTAACCCTATTTTAAAATTTAGATTTTCAACATTGACACTTGAAAAATAAATCTGTTGCTATGGTACTATTTGAATTATTATCATGTTCATTACAGAATGTCCCGTGTATTGCGGAAAGAAAGCGCTAATCTCCAATTTAGGTTATACTTTTCCACTTGGCAACAATTTAAATGTTTATTAATAAAATAACATTAGAATTCATGGTTAATCAAATTCAATTGTATTTGTTCTTAATTGATTTTATTTTATTCTTCTTCAGAATATACCCAATCGTTCATTCATGAATGGATTTATGCAAAATATGCTCATGGAGCCAGATCCTGTCAGAATTGTAAGTTAGTTACTAAGATACTATATTTTTTTTCAAAGATATTTATACTCATTTTGATCAGGTTACAAATTTGGTATTTACAGTTAGTTTAATACTACTCAATAAACTATATTTCTCTCTTACATTTGAAACAACACTTTCTATTGTTTAATAGTATAGACTATATTTATAGTGAAGATGAATAGTGGCTAGTAGTGAAATCCAGTTGGACGCGCGTTTCGTCCTAGTTCGGACTCGTCAGATGGATGTGCCTGCATCTCAGAGTTGATGTTCACTCTGGGACTTGAACCAAGTACCATTCACTTGAAACACCATCGCGTTATTCACTTAGCTACTGAATCCTGGTATCCATTTGCTTATGTAATGGGGTGAAGTTTTAAATTCACTTGGTGTTGTTTACTTGTATCTTCCAATTGTTATTTAGAACTGCAATTGATCAGTCTCTTGTATGGTATATGTGCATCCTGTACGGACTGCTTCGATATTGCTTTAATTCACAAGCATTATAAGCTATCGAGTTTTGATAGCCAGTAGCTAAGTGGATAACGCGATGACGTTTGAAGCGAACAGTACTGGGTTCGAGTCCAAAAGTGAACATCAACTCTGAGATGCAGGCACATCCATCTGACGAGTCCGAACTAGGACGAAACGCGCATCCAACTGGATTTCACTACTAGCCACTATCCATCTTTGTTTATAATGCTTGTGACTTCAGACAATATCGAGGATGCAAACATGCCAACACGAGACTGATCAATTGCAGTCCTAAATAACAATGGGAAGATACTCATAAACAACACCAAGTGAATTTATATCTTCACAGTGGTTGAATAATATCTGCTGTAATAAATTAAATTCAACCAAGCAATCCCTGAGAATTGACTACTTAAAAGTCATTTACTTCTTTGTTCATATGCGTTTCTCCTTTTTATTTGAAGTTAATCAGTAAATGTTTCTTTCTTATAGGATACTATGATTGCATCAAAAGAAGAATTACCTAAAATGTATACATCAGTAGCAAAAGCTGTTTATGATAAAACAAATAAAGCTGTAAGTTTGTAAGTTATATACGTTATATACATTAGGTAAGCATTATTCTACTGTCTGGTTTTCAATACTGACTAGGTTACTCCAATCAGATGAAGAAATATAGTCGTTTGTGATATGAGCTACTTATATCCATATAAGTAGTAGTATATAACAGTAGTCAGAAATAGAATGTATTTCAGTAGAGGATCGAGTAGGAAAGAACAGGAACGGAAAGCGATTGGTATGAAAATTCAGGAACGATGAAATCTGAGACGACGAACTGATATTTGCAAAAGGAACAGTCAAGCTTGAGACAATTGATTGACATTTTGCAAATGAAGTATTTACTGTATGGTTCTCATATTTTGATAAGACATTCTGTAATTTTATGTGGAAAATGTACAAATTATGTATTCCATGGATGGTTTTCATATTTTGTGAAACCACTCTGATAAAAGCCATGTGCTCACTAGTGACTAGCTTTGTGAAGGAATTCTCGGAGTTCTAGTGGGAAGCCGTGACCAGTGGAGCTAATCCATGTCGAGTAGAGGCATGTATCTACGTGAGTACAATGGAAAATGGTCCCACAATTTCGTGGGTTGATTGAGGTTAAACATTAGCACCATTGGATGTCGGCCAGCTCAGTGGTCTAGTATGTTGAGCGTTCGCGAGCGAGACTGAAGACCTTGTGTTCGAATCTCGCGAGCGGGATCGTGGATGCGCATTACTGAGGAATCCCACACTAGGACGAAACGGCCGTCAATTGCTTTCAGGTTCTCAGTGATGGTCTAACATCAATGGGTTCTTGATCTCAATCACTAATATAATAGTCTCCACAACCCTATACTGATAATTTCGTATTACTCTGTTGATACCATCTTATCTGACTTAGAAACCTATTAGCAATATGATTTACAGTTTACTATCGTTTGACTGAGTGAATTAACATAATATAGCCATAATTCGTTAATGGAAATGTACAACGATTTAGAATTATCAATACAATGGTGGATGTGTCGCTCAATTTCGTGGATTAGTTGAAGTTAAGCATTAACATCGTTGGATACCGGCCATCTCAGTGGTCTAGAGTTTAAGCGCTTGCGCGCGATCCCGATAGGTCCTGTGTTCAAAACTTGCGAGGCGGGATCGTGGATACACATTGCTGAGGAGTCCCACAACAAGACGAAAAGACCTTAAAGTGCTTCCAGACCTCCCATGGTTGTCTAGTTTCAATTGGCTCATGATCTCAACTATTGAAATTATAATAATTTCCGTACTAACATATGTTTCGGTGTTTTAAACAACTACTATGTATTCTTCGAAGATCACTAAATAATATACAACTCGAAGAATGACCTCATATGAGCATTCATCTTTTATTTCATAAGAATTCACATCATCCAATTTTTTTGGTTCACAGAAAAGGTTAAAGGAAGGAAATCTTCTTGGAGTTGCTGGAGTTGATATACCATTACAATCTTTTCAGGATACACTACGTGGATGGAAAGTAAGTAATGACTTTTAAAATTTTTTTAAACATTTATTTATCAGTTTAGAATCACTTCAGTTTCATGACCTTCAATAGATGACTAAACTATTCGTGGAATTCAAGACATGCGTTTCATCCTATTTGGGCTGGTCAGTTGGATGTATCTAGATCCCAGAATTGATGTCCACTCCGATATGTATAAACGAATGAATGAGATTTATTCTGACGTCTATATCGATAAATTTTATCTTTACCGTTCAACGTTTTTCATGTATATTGCTTAGAAAAACAGTAATAACTTACATTTTCAAGAATGCATGCTCAAATGATGTAGTGAGGTCACTAGTTGCAGAACGTTACGTGTGATATGAACGTTGTACTTCTGGAAAGTTAGCAGATAGTGGATTGTTTGTGGCAGGGCTCTAGGTAATATCGAACTGATGTCTTAGATGAAACACAACACAGGAGAAATGCTAGATATCTTCCATTCACGTCGATAGTTCCCTGATTATAAATCAGGAGGCTACTGACAATCTTTGTTGATCCTTAAGCTCCTCAAAATGAGTTTAATCCACCATCATTGATCGTGTTTGGTGACTCTGTTTCATCTTATAGGATGTTTTTAGTAATATTGATTCAGTCAATGATGTAACCTTGAAACAACCAAACATTAAGGTAGGTTTGTGTGTAAAATAAATTTGATAAGCCTTCTGACTGAAGACTTGATTCGGCTTCTAAGCTGTTCTAGTAACCCTCTGACAATATCTACACAGCGACTTAAACACGAGAGAAGAGGCGTCAAACACAGAGGAGACTCTTTACTCCAAAAGTTCGATCATGTACAGAAAATCTAGTGATTTTATAGTATTTAGGATGACTTTGGGTTTCCGGAAATTTCTGGGAAGCTACCAAACATATTAGCAGTATAGGTAATCATCCAATCAGAAACGTGGCATGTGACTTTTCAATTTCTAAATGTTTCTTGGACAACTCCCAGTGAATGCTGATTAGATAAGATGTTTCTGAGTGTTTTTAGAGCATTCGTTGGCTTTTTTCGAGGAATTTTCTGGATCTCTCCGACAAAATCTCTCTTCAACATGTTCATATTATAATGCATTTATTAGTATTCTTCCTGTTGTTGCCTGTGAGGACAGTCCACGAGTGAACTCGAAGAAGCCCTATGAAGCTCAGAAAGAGCAGAGATATTCCATCCAACCATCTCTTGGAAGAATATTCCAGGATCCCTACGTAGACCTTCCTATTGGACAAATGCTAATAACCCCCTGTATGCGGATTAGAGGACTATAAAGATGATTTTGTTTTTACTAAACACAATAAATACCTGACAGCATTGTACCTGTTTTTGAAATAGCATTCCTTCCACTTGTTTTCTGTCTTCTCGTTTGCGACTTGGGTGTGTTATAGTGTTCGAGTGTTCAAGTTATACACGGTATATTCAGAATCTAAGCTCTAGATATAACCACTGGCGACGGAGATGGGATTCGAACCCTCACGGGGAAACCCCATTGGATCATTATGTAACAGATTATCGCGTTACTATGTACAAGTCATCGTTTATTGTCTATATTGAATCATTTTTCTTGTCCGTTATAACTAACTATCGGAAAAATTCAGTATATCCCCAAAATTCAAATGTAGCTAATCATAGAATGATTTTTTGAATCTCTGTTTTGAGATTATCGTATGATACTGAGAAAGTTAAATTTCCCACCTTGAACGAGCGAACTTAGTAGTAGCTGGTTTTTAAGAACATCTTGAAATTACTTATAAATACTTGCGCATTTCACACTTATCCATAAGTCGATTTGAACTCCAATAAAACGTTTTGAGTTCTGTTTTACTTGGAATGCACTTTTACATTAAATAAAGATTTATTTCGTGGACTGATTGAAGTTAGACATTAACGCCGTTGGATGCTGGCCATCTCAGTAGTCTGGTGGTTAAGCTCTCGTACACGAAACTGATAAGTCCTCAGTTGGAGTCAAGCAAGACAGGACTGTGAATTTGCAGTGCTGAGGAGTCCCATGCTAAGATAAAGCGGCCGTCCGGTGATTCCAGGTTTTTATAGTAGTCTAGCTTCAATTAATTCATGCTTTCAACTATTATTGATATATTTATTGATTTTTGTCTTTGCAGATTGGTGCCAACAATTATTTGTTTGCTGTGGATAATAATGGGTTTGTTTTATTTCATCCAGATTATCGACCCGTTGTAAGTTGTTGTGTTTTTTTTTTGGTTTCACTTTGAAATAATCTTAAGTATTGAACTCAATAAGTATATTAATTGAAAATACAGTTTCCATTTAGAGCCGAAATCAGTTAGTGAAGCATTAAAGACTACCGTTTTGTTGTAAGTTTAACTTCCTTCAGCTTTTATTGGAGATCAAATTCATGACCTACTATGATATGTGCTAATTATATTGACATAAGTAATATATGATGCTAGTCAGAAATAGAATGTCTAGCAACAGAAGGTTGAGAAGATCTACAAGGAAAGAATGGAAACAGACATTTGATTGTCTCCACTTGTCTTCGCGTTTATTACAATATGACTCTCATTGAACATCTAATTATTCAATGGTTACGTAGAAATCGAATGATCTTTTTTTTTCCATCATTCAATGAATTAGCCCCATTATAGTAAAATAACTCACCCAGTTCAGTTAAAGATAAAAATTGACAACCTTCCTTCATTCAGCGGAATCATTCAAATATAGGCAGAATCTATCCTATCCCTATCTAGTAAAACAACTGTAGTCCAGATAAGAAAAACCTAGAAATCTGACTGCGAGTTAAAGTTTGCATTCAGGTTCCCTTGGTGTCCTTATGTAACGAACAGCGAAGACTATCAGAGCTTGTCTGATTAATTTATTTATTCCATGTACTATTTACCACATGTTTCAGGCGGATAAGATTTATGTGAGGGTTGAGATATTGACCCGGGGGCCCAAACTGAAGTAGGTGGTTTACTTAGGAGACCACACCCCAAGCCTTCGACCTAAAGGTCTGATCCACAAGGCAGTAGAGCAACGTCAGGAGATGCAGTCTCATGGTAGCCGGTGACCAACAATAGGTTCATACGCTATTTGTTTCCTTACGATCCCTGAGCCCATGTGCACGATTGGTTGGGAATCAGGGTTTATTAACTCCCCTTGGTGAACTCTTGGTGTCCACCTACCCAGTTAAAGCGCTGGACGTTCGTTTTTCATTCTCTCAATTTTTTAAACTACATCCCCACCACGAGAAGGCAGTGAGTAGGACTCTCCTGGAAGTGGTTGTATACACGTGGTCATGTGAGAGCATTTCAAGAGGGAGAGTGAACTTTCCCCACCCTCGGCCATATCAGAGCAATTGGAGGACATGTGTACTAGTTGTGATGTGGTTAATAATAAAGGCTTGAATCAATGTTTCATAATAGAAATGTTGGTCAATGATCTAAGAAACTAGACATATTCATTAAAAGTTATAAAATTATCAGTTTAGGGGTTGTGGAGATTGTTAAGTTTTTGATTGAGATCATGAACCGATTAATGTTAGACCACCATTGAAAACCTGGAAGCACTGGACGGCCGTTTCGTCCTATTGTGGGACTAATCAGCAGTTCTCATCCACGATCCCGCTCGCAGGTTTCGAACCCAGGGCCTTTCAGTCGCGCGTGTGAACCTATAACCTATTAGACTACTGGGCCGACAACCAACGATTTGAATGTCTAACCTCAATCAATCCACGAAGTTGAGCGACCATCTTCCATTGTACTGAGGTAGATACGTGTCTCTACTCGACATGGATTAGCTTCACTGGTCACGGCTTCTCCCCAGAACTCCGAGAATTTTCTCACGAAGCTAGTCTGTAATGAGCACATGGTAATTATAAAATTACCTAATAGGGAGTGTCCAGATAATTGGACAATGAAGGGTATATTTTTTAAAAGGGTGAAAACAAATAAACGAATGAGTATGGAAAATAATAATAAATAAAATCTATAATTTGAGATAAGAGTTTCACAAATTCCTTATGAATACAAAGGTTTAGATTGTTAGCTCGAATCCTTATATCTTCTGCTATGTGTAGGAGACGAGTTTGAACTCCATAACGAAAGCTAATAGGTATGCGACAAGTCACTTGAAATAACCTATTTCTATCTACTACATGACTGTCATAGATCAAGTGTGATAGAACAGAGCTGAATATCGTTTTGATTATATCTATTCCTAACCACGAACGGGGGTGTTCATTAATACATTAGCTCAGTTGTCTGATTGTACGCCTAAATGTGCCTATACCTCAAGATCACAAATGTAAAATGGTAAAATGAATTGAAAGATAAGAATGGATCAACCGTCCAAAAGTTAAGATAAATCATGTAGACGTTTAACAATACTCACTTCTACAAGGAAAACTACTGTAATAGCACTTAACAAATCTCAAATATAATAATCAGATAGGTAGCTTTTCTTTTCATGCCATTTTCTTTTCTTTATCTTTGGTCTATTTCATTTTGTAGTATAAAGCTCTTTTGAAAAGTTACTACCAGAATGTTGATATCAATGAAGTGGAAGTAATGAAAAATGTTAAAATTGATCCAGTAAGTTTTAGCTTTACAAATTTTTCCCTACATTAAGAACCTAACTTTGTTAATGGTCGCCGATTTTACTCATCATCCTGTGACTCCTATGACCCCTTGTGGGGTGGAGATCACTGACAAGAATTTTCCAACCAACCTCGTCGTGAGCTCTCATTTCCAGCTGTTTCTAACCACAATCCATCCTTCTGATGTCTGTCTTCAATTGCCAGTGCAATTTATTTGCTAATCTTCCTTTTTTCCGTTTCCGTTCAACATTTCAAGTTAGCGCTTGTCTCGTGGTGCACGTGGATGATTTCCGAAATGTATGTCCTATCCACTTCCATTGTATTTTCCTAATTTTCTCTTCAGATGGAAGTTGGTTTGTTCTCTCCCACATTAATCTGTTGTTGATGGTATCCGGACAAAGGACATTAAGTATCTTGCGTACACAGTTGTTTAGAAATATTTGTACATTTTTGATGATGGTTGTGGTAGTTCTTCAAGTTTCAGCTCCGTACAATAGAACGATCTTGATGTTTGTATTGAAGATTCTGACTTCGGTGTTCGTTGACAGTTGCCTCAAGTTCCACATGTTCTTCCGTTGTGTGAATGCTGCCATTGGATTACCAATCTATGTCTTCACATTTACATCTGATCCTCCTTATTTATCAGTGATGCTGCCCAGGTACGTAAACGTTCCCGCAACTCGCAGAGCTTTTCCATCAAGTGTGATTGGGTTGATGCTTACTGTGTTGTATTTCAGGAACTTGCTTTTTTGTATGTGTACGTTGAGATCCACTGATGTAGAGGATGTTGTTATACTGGCTGTTATCACCTGCATTTGTTGCTGTGTATGGGATAGAAGAGCTATGTCATCTGTAAAGTCCAAATCGTTTAGCTTCATCCAAGCTGTAGATTGTATTCTATACTTTCCTTGAGATGTGGAGGTCTTTATAATCGAGTCAATCATCAGAAGAAAGAGGAAGGGCGATAATAAGCAACCTTGTCTGACACCGGTCTTCACTCGGATAGCATCTATGATTAGGCCCAAAGCGAAAACATATTCTTCACACAACTTCGAACCATAGGTCGATTGGAAAACATAATGCGAAGTTAAACTGAATAGGATGCTTTTCTTAGAAATCTTGAAAGTCTGTATTTCAGCATTTTTGCCGCAGTATTTCCTTAAAAACTGAAAGTTTTTGAAGAGTCTTATTTGGTGCTGTGGACACTTTTCACGTTGTTGTTTTGGCTTTAGATTCTCCTCAACGAATCCAGTTAGATACTCATTGTTGATCAGTATCTGCCGCAGTTTATCAAGTTCTTTGTCGATTGTATCATTGGTACAAATACGTCTAACTCTCGTACAAAGAGAATGAATCAGGTTTCTCTTTTGCTTCAATGGGACCCAATTTCGGGAATTCATGTACTGCCTATTCCATGTTAGTTTTCTATATACCTTTTACCTAAAGATCTAAAAAGTTGAATTCTAAATCCCACTCTGATTTCATTGTGAACTTAATTGATTGATAACAGTTATTGAACGTGTATAAGATGTCGTTGATATTGATATTCTTGTCACAAATAATGAAAATATTGTCTGAGTAGCTGTCGATTATTGGTCTAAGTATAGTGTTTTCGAGATTATGAATGGAACAGTCAGCTAGAAGTGGGCCGAGTGGTGACGCCATCACTGTGCCATCATTCTATCTGTAAAACTCAATGAACTGATTGAAGAAGTAGTTCCTTCGAACAGTGTATTGGAATAGCGACATAGAGTTTGTTGTTTTCAATATAATCACATAGTAAGCAGATTGTCTCTGTTAAAAGTACATTTGTAAAAAGAGAGGCGTTTTTTAAAAAAAAAATAATTAACACCTTTCTGTCTTACAATAGAACATTATTTTAGCAAACCAAATTAACTTTCAAAGAAGTTAACAATGACAGGTTAAAGGTCAACAATAATCAATCAACATCGAGATCTACAGAACAAGCTGTGAGCCATATATGGAGAAATTCGAACACTTCACTTCTATCCTGTAGTTTGTAATGATGATTTCATTCAGAACAACGATGAAAGATCCACAATCATATCATCTAGACCAGAGAAAAAGACTTAATCAAAGCCATCCACCTGAACTATAAATCTTCTCCCCTATCTCAATATCAAATTGTTTTAAGCCACATTTAATCACTGAGTTCTTTTAATGGAAAGAATATAACCATGGCCTTTTTATCAAGTACATCTGATCTTCACATGCGTTTTGTTTAATTATGCGAGTGACGACTTTATTTTTTTCAAATGACACTACCTTTAGAAACATTATCTATTCTGATGTGATGATTCTTCATCGCCTTCTATTTCAATTAGGTAGAGATTTTTTGAGAACTATTTATAGATTCTGTAATTAGAATCTAATCCAGTATGTAAACGTGTTAATTCTTTTTCTTCTGATTGATTTCTAGTGGTCTGGTACGCCGGATTATAATACAACTGTAAGTTTATTACTTATCTTGTGCATATCAGTCAGTCAGTAACAACGTAGAACTTCGTACGTACGTACATCAGTTCGAGTTGCCATACCACATTAGCACAGAGGTACAGTTATCGACTCATATCCCGTAGTGGTAGAGGTAGTAAGAGTTTAAGCAGTAATCGGGAAGATTAGGGTTTGGAGATGTTATTTAAAGAGTGTAATACAGTGAAATAAATTTGGAAAGAGAAAAAAGAGACAAGGAGGAATCAAGAGATTAAAATTTAGGAGAACACAAAGAGTGTATGCACCTGCGCCATTGAAAACGATTTTGAGCCATGTAATTCAGGGTCTCTAACCATTGGTTGCTATCATCTCGCGGTCCCTAACCAAATAGTCTACACCTGCCAATATGACTCACTCTACTTGTCAGTGACTTCATGGACTTGTGCCATGTTTTGGTCTGGTGTTGTGCATATAGTTGAAGTATATGCAATAGTTGTCTTAAAAACATTGTTATCTACTAGGTTCTTTATTTGTCTTAATGTATATATCCGAAATTTATTACTGAAGATTGATAGCATCACATAAACCCTTGTCATCAAATGACAGATATGTGGCTTCCTTTAATCTAAAACAGTATGGATTGGGGAAAAATGAAATACTGAACGTGGGGACCTATAATACCGATCTTAAAATATCAACCGCTTATTTCACAGTTTCATTCTGTCCTTGCTAGTTTTTTATTTATTAAATAATGCTACTTAATAATAGTAAGTAGCTTGGTGTTCATCAACTATACTTTTTATGCAGTTCGATATGTGAAATCATTCATTGTTGTGACAGTCTTCTTATTCTTTCTATTTATTCTTTCATTTCGACGTAGTGGTTGGTTTTTAGTAAGTGCTCCTACAAAGTGATTAGAAGTATGACGTTAAGTTATTCAAGAAATGAAATGGGTGTCAGTGGTCTAGAGTTTAAGCATCCACAGGCGAGACCGAAGGCCCTGAGTTCGAGTCCCTCGAGGGGGATCGTGGGTGCTCACTTCCAGGTTTTCCATGATGGTCTAACATCAATTAATTCGTGATCTCAATCAAAAATATAAAATATTGCTTGAAATAAAAACCGTATTCAAAAGAGAAAAGATGGGGGGAAACAATAGTAGCTTAACTATTTCAATAATGACCCAGTTACAATACTTATAATTGCTGAGACTGAAGAGGAAACCACTATGTTTAGGCGTATAAATAAGAACAATGAAGCGTATTTCAAACTGGTTCATTTCCTTAACTATGAGATGGTGGGTTATGTTTGATCACTAGCCTAAAAATCAGATATAACATTTCTCCTAGTAATGTTAGAGGTTTTCTTGTCTTAGAATTTAACCATTTGAGGTAATGTTCATTAAACTTGGTTTGAAATGAATCAAGAAAACTATTTTGATACGGAAGACGTTTCAACTTGAGAAATCATCATCGTTACTGTTAGTATAACTACCGACAAAACATTCTTTTCCCATATAGTAGGTTGTACTTATTTACTTACTCCTGTTACTCCCAATGGAGCATAGGCCGCCGACCGCTTTTCTGGTTAGCGTTTTGTTAGTGAGTTAGTTTTCTACGGGATGGGGTTGCTAACCCCATGCCCCCAACGAAGGGGCTCCAAGCGGAGTTATATAGTAGGTGGTATCAGTATACAATTTCATAAAGTCTTTCCTACTTCGTTCTCATCGATGGAGATAATCATGTAGACTACTTCAAGGATCTTTAGATTCAGAATACTTGGTTATGATAGGTATCATTTATACTGTAATGAACGAACACTCGAGTGGAGCCGACCAAATTGTATTGATGTTAAATTACAGAATATCTTGGTAAAATCTGAGAACCATACATTGGTTATTTCATTGGCGAATTTGCATCATTTGTTCTTTACATTCTGCAATTTCTTTCTATTTCCGTTTCTATTCTCTTCAACTTGATCTTCTTAGTCTTCTGCTGGCCAGGGTTTCCATTTACGATTTGTATTATATACTGCTTATGTCTGTCGACATAAGCAGTAGTCATGTATGAAAACCATAACGTTTGACATGTGGAACACAAAGGACAGAGATACAAAATATTGAGTAGTTGTGTATTTCGAGGAGTTCAGTACTTATTCTATTGATTTTATATTGTAGTTGGATCTATTCTATAATTCAACAAAACACTTCAATGATTTATTAAACTACTTTTGTTGTTGTTGTTGTATGGATCTATATTTTAGTTAAGAAATGCAATGATCAATAGAGAGAAAACATCATTAGACATGGATACCAATATAGTGGTTGACAATTATGTACGTGAAACTGATTACATAATTTTATTAAATGATTTCACATATTTTTATTTCAATACTTAATCATTCAGTATAATGTAAAGGTGGATAATGGCTAACAGTGGAATGCAAGATGCGCGTCTCATTCTATTTCGGACTTTTCAGCTGGATGTACCTGCATCGCAGTGTTGATGTTGACTTCGGGTATCGAACCCAGTACCGTTCACTTCGAACGCCATCGCGTTATTTACTTAGCTACTGAGCCCTGATAGACAAATCTTGGATGCAGGTATATCCAGGTGACGAGTCCCAAATAGGACGAAACGCGCGTACTGGATTCCACTGCTATCCACTATCCATCTTTGTTTATAATGCTTGTGACTTCAGGCAATATCGAAGCAGTCCGTACAGGATGCACGCATGCCAACATGAGACTGATCAATTGCAGTCCTAAGTAACAATCAGAAGATACAAGTAAAACATCACTAAGTGAATTCAGTATAATGATTTAATAATTAATATAGGGTTGAATTTCTTCACTTAAATGGTAGATTATTGTACATTTTATCTAAAGGTGGTTATTTGAATCTCAACTACCGAACAGATTTCTTTACTTTATATGCTTCTAGCCCACCACCATAATACAAACATGAACTCGTGATTTACATGGAGACTTTTATGCAAAGTTTAGTGTTACAGTTAAATGTAACTATCTGTCAGATGTGAATTCTGTAAGCTCAATTAATAAAGAATAAAACTATCGATAATAATACCTTTACTAGCTAAAATTCTGCCTTAAATAAGTGATATTACCGACTGCCTACATACTTACGCCTGTTACTCCTCGTGGAGGAGCATAGGCCACCCACCATCACTCGCCATCCAACCTTTTCCTGGGCTCTTCTTTCCAACTCTTTCCAGTTTTCATTCATCCTTCTCCTATCTGCTTCTATTTCCGACGTCATGTGTTCTTTGGCCTTCTGCTTTTCCGTTTCCTTACAAGATTCCAAGTTAGCAGTTACCTCGTGATGCAGTTTTGTGCTTTCCGTAATTTATGTCCTATCCATTTACAACGTCTTTTCCTAACTTCCTCTTCATTTGGAAGCTGATTTGTTCTCTCCCACAGTAGGCTGTTTTTGATGGTTCCCGACCAACGGACTTTGAGCATCTAACATAAACATCTATTTACGACTACTTGCACCTTCTTGATGAGGTTTGTAGTTCTCCACGTTTCAGCTTCGTACAGTAGAACTGTCTTGACGTTCGTATTGAAGATTCTCACTGTGATACTGGTTGACAGCTGTTTTGAGTTCTATATGTTCTTCAACTGTAAGAATGCGGCTCTTGCTTTGCCAATCCTTGCCTTTACGTCTACATCTGATCCTTCGTAAAATAATTTTCAATCACTGTATAAGTATCGTGGTAGTAGTGTCTGTGATTGGGAATTGGGTTCTATTTGAATTGTTTGAAAAAAAACGTCATTTGTATGAAGATTGTTGATATGCCTTTTGATGAGTGGCAACTAACATGAGATTAGATACATAGCTTTCTATCAGCTATCTCCAACCATTTAAGATCGAATTATTTTCTTTGGAATACTCAGTCAAAATTCATTCAAGAATTTACATTTTGACTTAAACTAGGTTTCATTCTTGAAGTTAACTGACAATGTTATTGAGTTCACAGAAGTAATTTAACTAATTAGTAGATAGTCCTCTGTTTAAGTTATTACTGAGCAAGATTTATGTAACAGGACTAGAGACAACTTCATTTTATGTGAAGGATATACTTATTCAATTATGGTTTGCAAGTAAAAGGGGCAATAGTTAATATGACCCCCAAATGCCCTGGTGCAGCCGAGGGTGGGGAGAGTCAGCTCACTCTCTCCGAATGCTCTCATATAGCCACGTGCATACAACCACTGATAAGGAAGTCCTACTCACTGCCTTCTCACAAAAGGGGTGTTGTTTACGAAATCGAGAGCACGAAAAGCGAATGTTCGGCACCAATGGTGCACATGGGCTTCAGTATCCTGAAGGAACAAACGGCGTATAAACCAATTGTTGGTGACCGGCTTCCATGGGACAGTATCTCTTAACGTTGCTCCACTGCCTTGTGGATTAGACCTTTAGGTCAAAAGCTCCCGGTGTAGTCCTCTAAGAAAATCACCTGCTTCGGTTTGGGCACCCAGGCAGTATCGCATCCCATACACAAATCAATTGAGTTGTGTGGTGCATATGTATTCGGTGCCCCTTTGTACCAATATTTATATGTTCAAATAATAATAATATGTTAACATGAGACTCACCAGTTTATGCAAAAGAAAATGGTAGGGAAGGAATTATTTGAATGGGTTACGTTAACGATTACCCTAAAGCTCAGTATAAATAATACTGAATACCACTGGAACTTGAGGAATCTGCTGCATTTTATTTTGGATTTGTCAGTACCTCGGTTCTGATACTTACATTGAGACTAAAATTCATTACTTATCGCTCCAAATCGAGGTGTATGAACTACTACGTTACTGAGTTGCGATAATCACCAAAGCTCTTAAGGAATATGAAATTTTACATTATCTGTTTTCATGATTTCATCGTTGATATGTAAGAGAGATACAGAGGATATTTAGGCTCATATGCCAGCGGTGACTGATCAAATAAAATCTTGAATATCAAAATCCGAAAATTACAAATCCGATAGGTCTTGGGTTCGAATCTCGTGTGGCGGGATCGTGGATACGCATTGCCACTAAGGAGTCCCACAATAGAACGAAACGGCCATCCAGTGCTTCCAGAGTTTTCATGGTGGTTTAGCTTCAATTGACTCATAAGGGTATATTATATTATTTAACTATAACTCTTTATGAATTCATTAATAAATATCAACCTAATGAATATCATGTACCTTGATTTTCATATCCTACCTTATCATTAATTGTTTTTTACGATTTTCCTTCCACAGTCACTAGTAACATTTCATTAATGAAGATTTTAAAGTCTGTTGCCTAAGATGAAACTATTTGTATGATTAACGTTTTGAAAGATTTCAACGTTGTGCAAATGTGTAGTTATATTCACTGTTGTATAATATAACCTTGTGGGCCAGAGTAATTTTACATTGGTTTTCAGGAGAACCGTACATCATCCAGACTTTCACGCGATAACCCGAAATGTACAGCTCAACCCCGCTTCACAAGAGAACCAGACACCATATAGGCTTCAATACTACAATCTGAACAGTACACCTCAATCCTGTGGTGCAAACACACAGGTACCCAGCATCCTGGTGGACCATCAAATATGTAGTCTTAACATAATCTAGATCTAACCCTTTAACAAATCTCATTAACACATATAATACCCATTTGTTAGGAATAATAATTATTATCTGACTTATTGATGAACTGTGACTGCAGCCTAGTTAATTTAATACCAGAAGGGGATTTTGTGGACATTATATTTATTTTAATAGTTCAGATTATGAGTCAATTGAAGCTAGAACACCATGAAAATTCTGGAAGCACTGGATGGCCGTTTCGTTCTATTTCGGGACTCCTTAGTGGCAATGCGTATCCACGATCCCGCCTCGTAAGATTCGAACCCAATATATGTAAATGTAAATCATTTAACACAGTGATAAATAAAGTTAACTTTAGAAAAGCCTAATAATATGGAAATTTTAGTTCATAGAGTCCCTCCGGGGGCTACTACCGTTCCCAAGCCCGGATAAAGGAGGAGGGGTGGGTATGGGGTTAACGACCCCATCCCGTAAAAAACTAACTCGCTAAAAAAACGCTAACCCGAAAAAAATTATTCAAACCTTTATATATATATATATCATACCAATGCTTTCTTCATAATCTTTAGCATACCATGTTTGAAGCCAATAAGAAATACTTCATAGCGCCAATAGATCAAACTCCATTCACTTTGGGTTTGGCAATTCATTGGGATTCAACTACTCAAAAAGGTTATCCTATTCCACAATATCGATTTAATCCAAAAGAACTATTTAATAATTTACATGGTGAGTATATTGAGTAGATACAAAAGTGTACTTTTTGTATAGAAAAAACGGCGAGACTATAATTTATGAACGAACCAATCAGGTATAATATAATAGGTCTTGGATTTTGGTGCGAAATTCACTCATTCATTTAGCTAAATCGAGTTTTGGTATTATAGCTGATGCCGGTTCTTGATGGAAACCCTAAATCGAATTCTTAACCTTAATCATCAACCGTAAATCATAATTCTAATTCCTCACATACTAGTTTATAAACTTCATTTGGTACTGGTTATCGAATGGATACTATCAAGGTCAATTTAGCGTCTCTCAAAGGTCGTCCATAAATTATAGTCTCACCAACAAAAACAAAATGTTCCTCAGTATTTATGATTTTTCCTATTTGATGATTAACTAAATGATTTCTAACTAGAGTAAATAAAATAATCATTACGTGATCAACATATTGACAATGTCATGCCCATTGAATAGATCATCAACTAAAACAAACTAGATCATTCGTTCTATTCAGTTATTTGATATTTAAGATTTATCATTGGCCGCTGATGAACAGCGACTTTGACTCTTCTTCCATGAGGAGGGTAACAGGCGTAAGTAAGTAAGTTACATCAAGTAATTTGTATTAGATAATTTATCTGGGAAAATGAAACTGTTTTATGACTATCGTGTTACAAACAAGTCACTAGAATTCCGCTTCATTTGTACATCAATGAAAATATACCTTCCAGTACAGAATGGGTTGGTAAATGCTGGTCGACCGCCTTTGCTCCATTGGGAGTAACAGGTGTAAGTAAGTAAGTAAGTAACAATAAACTAAGATTCATCATTGAAATATTGTCCTGTTTAACAGACTATATTTCATTGTCAGTGTAATTTGACCTTGTTGTGTACATTAGAGTTTTAATCTAGTCGCGTAATTATAAATTCGATTCTAGTTATGCTTATCTAGTTCTTGTTCGACTATTATGACTAAATTAGGATACTTCATTTATATTGTCAATAAGTTTTATCTTAAGATTGAAAAATCCAAAGTTGGAAATATAAATTTAAGGAATTAAAAGATAATTCTCATTGGCATAAACGACTGATCGATTTCAGTCCTAAACAACAATGGGACGATTCAAGTGAACAATACCAAGGGAATTTAAACTTCACTCGATTGTACAAGTAAATGGCTATCCGGACTCAGTAGCTAAGTGGACAGCGCGATGACATTTAAAGTGAACAGCACTAGGTTCGAGTCCTAGGGCGAGCATCAACTCTGAGATGCAGGTACATCCAGATGACGAGTCCGAAATAAGATGAGACACGCGTCCTGCATTCTAGTGTTGGCCACTGTCAATCTTTGCTTATAATGCTTGTGACTTTATGCAATATCGAGGAAGTCCGCACAGGATGAGCATATGCCAACAAGAGATTGATCAATTGTCACCACACGTATGCTGTAGAGGTTTTTGTATCATCATCTGAGGCTGAAGCGAATAATCTCTTATCTGTATATTTACTCATCGATATTTACCTGTTTAAGGAAGAGGTTTGATGAAGTTTAGAGTCATCTGGACATGTTATGGGTAACTCACGGATGTTTGAAATGAGTTACTCGTCCACTGAAGATGAAATGTCGCTTTAGGATTGCTGTTTGTCGATGGTTTATCTGACCATAAGGAGTAATTTACTTGGTCACATTGACCATCTTATCAATGTCAGGAGTCTTATCGCGTGTGATTGGTTGCTGACTAACGATATCTCTGCACATAAGCAAAAGTTTTCATGAATTTTGTCAGTTTGCTGCCATCACTATAGTGCAGATGATAAGGTGAATGCTTAATCTGTTGATAAGGTTGTTTAATTGCATAGATTGGGGTGTTTTAGATGCATGTTATGTATGCTGAAACAGTGAGTACCTTTACGTGCTATCTAGCACAGAAATAAATATAGAATCGTTCCTTGAAATTATTGACTCTCTGATTAAACCATACTGGAAGACGTAAATATCTTTGATGAGGTTAACAAGCTGATCATTGTTATCCTCCCTAACAACTATTTCGTTCAGACTGCTCCCAATGGCTTTAGTTAGATGAGTCATGAAGTTTTACTGGGATATTTCAGTGAACCCTCACTGTGTTAACAATGTCTATAAGGGATTACTGAAACTAGCCAGACGATCAAATGTAGTATATTGTACATCAAGATAATCGTGTGATCACAATCTATATCCCTGAATGACTAGATTTCAGAAGCGATATTACAGAATAACGAAGATGGTTAAAATTTGCAACGTTTTCCACTTAACGACCCTGCTTCTTATCAACTGAACTACAGAACTTAACTACTAATCAGATTCATAATTTACCTTAACTCTACTTAGTTTACTTATTTCTAATAGCTAACTATTGGTTGTTTAGTAAATGATTTCAGTTGTTTTGCTCCAAAATATGGTGATCAACAAGTTAATTGTGATTCGTATAACAATAACAGTCAGATTGGTGCAACAATAATTCCATAGTAAGTCTTGTTTTCTTCCATTCATATGATGGTATCCTGATGTGAGTGATTCTTTTTTAAAACTTTTAAGACTATACAATTCATGATCATTAAAGTTTTAAAGTGACTACATGATGTAACGTTATATGATCATGAGTAGCTAGAAGAATATCTAATATGAAGTGGATTTTGGAGCTTCTTATAAAATGAGCGGTCGTAAAAAAAATTGATTATGCTTTCAACATTCTATTCTATGTCATTTAGTCCATTCATTTCCACTGAGTTTTTTGGTTGTGATTCTATTCTGTGTAGAATTGAATTGCCCAAATCAATAATTTTGTAGGCTAATGAACATTCATATGTTAAAGATGTTGAGCCATTCAGAATTGTAGCCACTTAGTAAATTCACCTTACATTGGTCTCCATTTAATAATCAATGTATATTGCCTTATACTGATAATTACCATGTGCTCACTAGTGACTAGCTTCGTGAGGGGATTCTCGGAGTTCTAATGAGAAGCCGTGAACAGTGGAGCTAATCCGTGTCGGGTAGAGACAGGTATCTACATCAGTACAATGGAAGGTGGTCGCGCAAGTGTGTGAACTGGTTGAAGTTAAACATTAAACACCGTTGGATGCTGGCCATCTCAGTGGTCTAGTATGTTAAGCGTTCGCGCGTGACACTGAGGGCCCCGCGTTCGAATCCCACGAGCGGGATCGTGGGTGCGCACTGCTGGTGAGTCTCACAATAGTAGGAAACGGCCGTCCAGTGCTTCCAGGTTTTCAATGGTGGCCTAACGTCAACCGGTTCATAATCTCAATTAAAAGTTAATTTTGTAGATCTCTAAATCTTCTTGTTGTTAATTACCACCTGATAATTGGACTCAATGCCTAATTCAATCATTTGAAAACAAACTGTTAGTTATTGGTTTGTATCCTTATGAAAATCCACCTCATTAATTGCATATATTTATTAATGTACACCGTTTCGATGTTAATTGTTTTAAGCTCATCTTTATTGAAGTAAACTGTCGTTTACTGATGGGATGATACTGAAACAGACAGCAGGAATCATCTTAAGGAACAATTTTATGAATCTATTAAATGTATTTAAATATTTGTATTAGCGGGACACAGATTAGATTATAGCATGTTTCGTGCACGATTGCGTTCGGTGTTAGCCGGTACTTGGAGAAGATTCTATAATCTTTCTTTCCTATTCAACCATATTCTGATTTGGGGATTTATCAAATGAATTGGTGTCCAAGGATACTAAGCAATAGGAATAGATGGGCTGTAATAAGAGAGAATTAGAACAGTTTAAAAACTCTAGAAGTGCTCAGAAGTATTTCCAATAACCCTTATCTAATTATATTTCTCTGAAATTTCCAGAAATATCCGAAAGTCAGATACATATGTTCTTTTCAAACTTGATTGACTGATTACTCAAATCATAACTGAATATAAGTACCTTTTTCTCCCCCCCCCCTCCCCCCAAAGAAAACTTAAACAATTACCAAGTCAGCGGCAACTATATAAATATTCTTTGACTTCTATGAATAAATCTAGAATATTCACTTTCTATTTTTGGCGAGACTATAATTTGTGGACGAACTAATTAGATACGAGGTAACAGGCTTTGGATTTCGACGCGGAATTCGTTCACCCTAACTATCAACTGTAAATCATAATTTATGGACGACCTTTGAACGAATCTTTAGTGACCGTGAAAAACATTAGTCAATCAGCAAACAGTCAGTAAAGAGTAAAAATATTATTATACAAAACAAAAGAATTAAAGTGTATACACTTCGTTTACATGGTTCAGAAACTTGTCAAGATTAGAAAGAGTTTCAAAGGTCCTAAAATCGTAATGCATGCGGTAGAGGAAATCATCCATTTGGTTACATAATAGTCAGCTTCTGGAGCCATGATCAGGCCGCAAAATCGCTTTCAGCCTTGACCGCATAGCACTCTGGTTGTTGAGTGCACAAAATGCTACTTGTGGATAACGACACGATGCACATAACCAAGTCTATGTAGTCATCTGTAGGCTATCCAATCATCCGTATATATTGTAGTACCCGGCTGCAGCCAGTGTTACTGGTGCTTTTATTATGCAGTTCGCGATAATTGTCGTAATTTACCTTAGTTAGGAATTATGTAATGGGTTTTCACCAAGAACTGGCATCAGCTATAATGCCAGAAATCTATTTAGCCAAATGGATGAAAGGCTTTCGCGCTAAAATCCGAGATCTGTTATCTTGTACCTCACTGGTTCATCCACAAATTATAGTCTCGTCGTTTTATTTGTTATAGCCGCTCAATTATCACGTTTTGCATAAAGTCCGCTGTGAACCGATAGTACGTTGGCATCAGGCACTGAAATTGGCGCCTTGACCTTGAAATCCATCAAACGCCTGTGATTGGCTCGTCTATAAGTTATAGTCTCGCCCATAATTCTAATTCTTCACACTGCTTTATAACTGTCGTTTAGTCTTAGTTAACAGGTGGACATTCTGAAGGTCACTTTAGCATCGCTCAAAGGTTGTCCATAAATTATAGTCTCGCCCTAGTTTTTCTTTGGATTTCATATATCGAAAACTACAGTAGTCAGGAAATCTTCGAGGAAGTTATTCTTTATAAATTCTAGTTTACCGAACTTATCAAAGTTTTATCATTTTCATTCTATTGATATACGATTTACTTTTTAGTGAATTTTGTCAATTCAACAAAGATTTGGCATCACTTTATTTAAATGATCGTCTATGTGCACTTAGACAGGTACTACTGAACTTATCAATGATCAGTAAATTAAAATGTAAGACAAATATGTTTTTTTAATATCAGAAGTTTTGTGGATATTATAGTAATTTTAATAGTTGAGATCATGAGCCGATTGAAGCTAGACCACCATGAAAAACCTGAAGGCATTGGACGGCCGTTTCGTCCCATTATGGGACTCCTCAGTGGCAATGTATATCTAAGATCCTGCTTCGCGGGATTCAAACACAGGACCTGTCAGTTCGCGCGCGAACACTTAACTTTTAGACCACTGAGCCGTAATCCTACGGTGTTAATGTCCAACTTCAACCAATCCACGAAATTTCGACGCCGTCGATTATAATTTTCAGTTAGTTACTATCTCAGAACTGACCCGGTTGAACTCCACCGTCCAGTGCTTCCAAGTTTTCCATGTTGGTTTAGCTTCAATTAACTCATGATCTCAACTACTAAAACATGTTTTTATTCAATTTAATGAAATATACCAACACATCATATTCACTTTCAGCTACTTCTTAATGTAGGAAGCAATATTTGAAGATCTTGTTAGGTTGAAGTGTAGTGAACGAGAACACAGGCGGGGGCAACCAAACGTATTCGAATCTCTTAATAAAACCTGAGAACCATACAATAAATTCTTCATCTGCAAAATATCAATCAGTTGTCTCAGACTTTATTGTTCCTTCGTTTCCACGCCAATCATTCTCTGTTCTCGTTCTTTTTTCTTTGATCTTCTTAACCTCTTGTCGATAGGCATTTCACAAGAGACTGATCAATTACAGTCCTAAGTAACCATGAGAAGATACAAGTAAACAACATCAAGTGAATTGACTACTTGATTTACGTTACAAAAACTTTAGACAAATTTATTACTTCCGTCCAAAAATGTTTAGCAAATCATTCTTTGGTTAAAAAGTCAATTGGTTTCATCTTTGGAGGATAATACATTCAGCTGTCAATTAACAAAACACAGATTTGAATTCCACTGTCATCAATTTCAGTTTGAGCGGCCGGATTGTATAAATATCGTTTCCACAATGCTTAGCCTAAAGCTGAATACATAAAACTTTGGAAAATTCAAGTAGATTTTAATGTTTAGGATTCTTATCAATATACAACAGCTTCAAGTTTTATAGTTCTTATTTTTACTATATTTTATAGGTGATGAAGAATATCTTGGTCGAATATATCTAGATGCAAAAGAAACTCGTGATCTACCAGCCTATTGGTACAAACAATCTAAAAGCTCTTCAATTACTAAGTAAGTTTGATTAAAAGTTCATCTACAACTTCAGTCAGTCAACCAGTAGCAACGTAGAACTTCGTACGTACGTACATCAGTTCGAGTTGCCATACCACATTAGCACAGAGGTACAGTTATCGATTCATATCCCTTAGTGGTAGAGGTAGTAAGAGTATAAGCAGTAATCGGGAAGATTAGGGTTTGGAGATGTTATTTAAAGAGTGTAATACAGTGAAATAAATTTGGGAAGAGAAAAAAGAGACAAGGAGGAATCCGGAGTTTAGAATTTGGGAGAACAAAAAGAGTGTATGTACCTACGTCATTGCAAACGATTTTGAGCCATGTAATTCAGGGTCTCTAACCATTGGTTGCTATCATCTCGCGATCCCCGACCAGGTAGTCTACATCAGTCCACTTGTCATCTACAACTTATATATTGAACATTTTTGTTAGGGATGTTAGATCCTCAGAACTCATTCGGTAAATAACTTATTTTTGTAATTCTATTTTAAATATTTGAGTTTCTTGTTTTTGCGCCAAGAGCGCTTAATTTTACCTTCATGTTGTATTTCCGACTTGGGAGAATTGTAAACACTATTGGTTCGTTATATCTTTTAGTATGCTATTTTGTAATACTTCCCAAGGACATTTCTATGCTGTGTATGTACGCTTGAGTTGTGCTTGTCGTTGTTATTGTTGTTGTTCATGCTTCTGGCTGCTTGTAGAATATATTTCTCTCTTCCGAACTTGAATTTTTCTCTCTAGTTAGCGGTGTTGGAAAGTGTCGGAATATCTAGCTTATCTGTCATTATGTCACACAATCTTTGTTCTGTTCTCAGACTAGGTGAACCTGTAATCTCTTCACACATAGCAATCTTAAAATTTATAAAAATTACATCTCAAATGTACTAGAATGAAATTTAACGACAGACTGATATGAAGTACACCATATCGATTATGGATTTATTTATAAACGACAAAATCTACAATGATGACTGACTAATCAAAAAGTTAACAATTTGGATCATATAAATAAATATCATTAAACAACCAACCATTTGATATGGACAAACTAATTGACTGAAGGACAAACGATCAAGTTTCTTATTTTTGTTGTTAAGCTTGTAGTGAACGAGACCACACAAGTGGAGACAATCGAATGCATTTAAATACACAAATTATAGAACGTCTAAGTAAAATCTAAGAATCATATAGTAAATACTTCGTTTGTAAAATGTCAATCAATCGTATCAGACTTTATTGTTCTTTCGATTTCATAGCATACATTCTTTGCTCTCGTTCTCTTTCTTTTAATCTTCCTAACCTTCTCTCGTCAGGCACTTTGCTTTCAATTTATGATACATATTACTTATATCTGTCGACATCAGTAGCACACACCCCACTCATCCCCATTTTAAAGTAATCGTTCGTGCGGTGGTTCTCCTCACTGTGATACTTTCTTCTTTTATGCATTTTGTACCACGCTCTCCGTCAAAATGTCGAGTATGAGGCGCGTTGACCTTGATACCTACGTCAACCTGCCAGGCCATCAAAATCCGGCGTACACCGGGAACTCGGGAAGTTCAACACCTGCGCTTCAATGACCTGCTGAGCCATCTACACTCAATGTCCGCCCAGCAGCCACACAGTTAGATTTGTCTACTTTGTTGTATGACACTTTTTAAATATTCATGTTATAAAAAGTAGGAACGGATATCAAGGAAAAAACACTGTTCTATAGAGATTTGAAATAGTTATTTCGAACTAGAATTCATTACAAGACAACATTTCTGACTTTGATCCTATTGAAATTTAAAAGTTGAACAAATAATTAATGTAGTACTTCAGCTGTTTCACTAGCTCTTAATATGAGATTATCAAATCAGTCTAAAAATTGATGGACTTACTGTTGGGAAGGATGCTAAGAATCACAACGGAGCCCCCAGAGGTCCTAAAGGAGCCGAAGTGTTTCCATGCAGTCAGAACGGGATAGGGCTTTCTAGAATATCAATGTGGCATGCTACGATTGTACAGTAGCATAACTTTCCTCTTTGCGGATTGGCTGAATCATAATGATGTTATGTCTATAAACATCCATAATTTTCTGTAAATTTTGATTCTTACCCAATAAACACTTCTTCAGATTTTTTCTGTCTTCTGACTTTGCGACTGTCGGGTTCTATACGTTCAAGTGCCGTAGTCGTATATCGTATTCCGAGTTAATCAAATATCGAACATAACACTTCCTTTAATGATTTTAGTAATATTTGAGCAAACATTGAGAACTGGTCAAATGGTCAAGGTTAAAGTCACTTGTCTGTCAGTCAGTAAGTCAGCTACAACGTAGGACCAGGCACATATATGCATCGGTCCAAGTTGTCACATCTCAATAGCACAACAAGATGAACACCCAATTCAATGGTAGCAATGTGTAAAAGAAAGATTGTGTATAAGGATATAATACAGGAAGGAAGAATTAGAAATGAAGGTATGAAGTAATTTTAATCTCACTGATTAGGGGAATAAAGTGTGTATGCACCTACACCATTCTGACCGATTTTGGGCCATGTCATTCACAGTCTACAACCATTGGTTAAGATAGTCACGCAGACCCTAACCAAGTAGTCTGCATCTACCAACATGGCTCAGACTAGAAGTTAGTGACTTCAAGGACTGATGCCACGTTTTGGTTCGGTCGCCCCTAACTTCTTTCCAACCATTCCCAACACTAGTCAACATTGTGTGTCGTAGTAATCAGTGTTTAGGTATGCCTAACGCATGATCCAACCATCTCAGTTGGTGAAGATTCACAGCCTCATCGACCGATTTAATATCATTCCCTAATACCCTGCGCCCCACCTCACTATTACTTACCCGGTGGTCCCAGCAGATGCGAGCAATATTTCTAAGACATCTGTTTTATTGATGATGTAGATGGTTGCTTCGAGTTTTAGACATTTCAACATCATTCACTACTCATTTAAGTCAATTGCTTGGCCGACGCATATACATGCCTGGTCCTGCGTTTTAGCTGACTGACTGGCATTTAAGTCAACTCATATTATGAGAGAGGAAGCATTCGGATTACTAGGCACATTTAGTATGAGAATTACCAAAATCAACAGAATAGGTTGATCATCTGTTTTCTCTTTTGAGGGGGTATCCAACTGCCCTGAAGAAGATCAGCGAATCATGGGGTTAGAGTTCTGAAATATAAGTCATTTTAGCACAACATTTTTTTTCTAAAAACTTGGTTAATCTTAGTGAATGGGGGTATTTCACAACTTCTGTCAACAACTAGTACCATCTGGTCGTTTGAATTCTATAATTAACATTTAGTTTACTATATACTCCATTTCTTTTTAGATGGAAGATTCAACAAGCGTTTTCATTCCATCATAGTGGTTTGATTCGCTTTTATAATTTCACAGTCCCTGCTTATCCGTAAGTATTAATAAATAAATATGCTAATACTATTGATATTTAATATGCTTTATGTAAAAGCTGAAGTCATTTGAAAGGCTTCGGGAAACTAAAGTTATATAGTTATATAATATATCCTTGTAAGTCAGGGTAATTTTACATTGTATTCAGGAGGACCAAACACCATCCAGGCTTTCACGTGACAATCCAAACAGTACGGCTCAATCCTGTTTCACAGGAGAACCAGACACCAAATAGGCTTTAATGCTACAATCTGAATAGTACAGCTAAATCTTGTGGCACAAACACACAGGTACCAAACACCCTGGTGGACCATTCGCACCATTCATTTACACATTCACACCACATGAATAATTATTCCGATCAATGATCACGTGAATCAATTATGCACAACACGAACAGGCCAAATTCGACTTATTCCGCTTACACGACAGCCAAACTCATTATTGTTAGCAATGTCGACATACCTTACAATGTTCCAATAACAATAACCCTTGAGAACACTGAAAAGCAACCACCAATATGAATGAAATCGGTCAACCAGCAAACCAATTTTGTGCATGAACAGTCAGTAAAACTTGCGAAAGTAATGCCGAATCATCCTTAATACCAATAGTGAACCTTTAGTATCATGTGAAACCTTCAGCTCTACATAGCCATACAGCTTATACTGCATATCACATATATGTAGGATAATAAATGAAATAGCCTAGCCTGAAGCGTTATTGCTTAAATAACGCTTAAAACCCACTGTTTGATGTCGGAATACTATTACAAAGACCATACAAAGATCATTTTTATCGCATTTGCGAAATTTTCATTTTTCCAACTTTCCAGACCCTGAGTTAGGGGTACTTTCTCTTCAGGAAACTGAAGAGAATCTGATTATTATTTTATGACTATCAAGAATTCTATTCTCATCTACACAAGTATATTAAGGAGTCATGATTTTGTAGTAGATACCACAAGATTAAAATGAATGATTTTGATTTGTAAACTATTCATCACTCACCTATCCAAGTGAACTCTATAACTATTACTCAACTCTAAGCTGTTCATTATGAAACTTGAAAATCGTGGTGTTCATTCAATAGATGATCTACTATGTAAAGAAACTGATGATTCCATTAATGGAATCTCCATGTTTTGAAAACCATTTTAAATTTGTCACCCAAATATAGGTAGTCGAACTGAGTGGGATTATCTTGATCCAACTGTATAGTTTTTTGTGGTTAATTCTGTATCCCCTAATTACAAATATGAATTAAGAATATCAAGTTTATGATACATTTGTATAATGTATTTCACACAGTCTGATCACATACTAACTTGTTCACATATTCACATCAGAAATAGAAGTTTCAGCCTTGAGAAATAGGAACATTAAAACAGGATCCTGAAGGAACATTTGGCGTATGAACCTATTGTTGGTGACCGGCTACTATGAGACTTCATTTCCTTATGTTGCTCCACTACCTTGTGGATCAGATCTTTAGGTCAAAGGCTTAGGGTATGGCTTCTTAAGAAAACCACCTGTTTCGGTCTGGGTGTCCGGGCCAGTATCCCAGCCCTCACACAAATCGAATTATTTCCGTGGCGCATATCTATTTGGTGCCTCCTTGTACCAGTATTTATATGTTTAAATAAATAAAAATAAATATCTTCTACTCTTAATGGCCACGTCTCGCAGCCATAAATTCGAACAGAACGAACTGCTGCGCTGTATACTCGTCCCTTAATTGATAGACGGATATCTCGCCTTCCCCATAGGTGACGTAAGTTGACAAAAGCCAAACGAGCTTTCTGAATCCGTGCTGATATTTCGGAAGATATCAACCCAATAGGGTTGATCAGAATTCGTTATTTCAGGTGTTGACACAAGCCAGTCCTAAAGCAACAACTTGCATTTAGAGGGGGAGAAACGCATCCCAAACATCCTGGCATTGTTGCTCAGTGCTACCAAAATGCTCTACATTTTATCAGCGTCTTCACTAAACAGGACTATGTCATTTGCGTATTCTAAGTCGATACATGAACCCCTGGAGGGAGATCAATGCCCTCGAATCTCGCGAGGTGGAATCGTGGATGCGCGTGTCTGAGGAGTCTCACACTAGGACGAAACGGCTGTCCAGTGCTAATAAGTTTTCTATGGTGGTCTAGCTTCAAATAACTCATGAATCCAACTACTGAAATTACTATAATATCCACAAAACCCCTCTCTGATTTACATATTTTGTCACTCTTTTATTGAATTATGATTACTTAAAACACTTTAGTTTCATGGTTTACAAAGCAACCAAACTTGTTAGTCATTATAGAAGCATTTAAAGTTTATGCCATTTGACTACATTAATGACATCAGCTACAAATAAGCGAAACTAAATTTTTCTGTTCTGATAATTTTCTCAAATGTTATGAATAATAGTTATCATGTCCTTATGATAATAAGCTAGAATAAATAAAACTTACCTTGATATTATTGATCTATCTACAATGTCTGATTAGTATAGTTAATCCAGTCTCATTAGGTGATATTTTTGGATGTTTTTAAAGCACCTTTAATTTTGTAAATAGTTAAGAGTACCAGCCTCTGATGTGTTTCAACAAGTATAAAGCTTAGATAAGTTAGAACTTGCTTCAGGGGGTTGGTAACAGTCAGCTATGAATAAGTTTTTAGCGTTTTTTAAAAGTTAACGGGCAGAAGTAACATAGTTATATCACATTCCTTATTGGACTTGAAATTGAAGTTATCCTGGCCATTGTTGCTACTTTGACGTGGTGGTCAGACATGCCTGTCGTGGTAAACCAATCAGGTTATACTGGCTGGAACGACTGTTGCTCAAGGTCCTACCATGCCAGACAGGTCGGTTAAAGAGCTGTAAAACTAAAAGCAACAAACCCAAGGTCCGAAGAAGAAGTCGTACTGCTGACTGCACAGAGGTGTGATGGGAGTAAGGTGTTCCCCTCAGATAACCAGTATCACAGCGATGCTGCCTTCCCACAAGGAGGGTTGGGAATGGTCGACCGTAAAAATGCACATTCCACATTATCCCATGGATATCCATCTCCTGAAATAAGGTCTCAACAAGCACGGAGTTAACACGGAGATTATTCACAAAAAGGTCGTGTGTGACCAAGCTCAAGTAGTTGTCTCTTTGGCATGCGGTCACACTCTCAGGTCACTAATTCCAACTCTAAAACAATTTTTTTCGGGTACCTCCGGAAAAAGCTTGCCATGGTGTGGGCGACCGGGAAGTGATAACGGCGCTCACACCTCTAACATCACTCAAGACCACTTCTGACTTACTTAAGTTATTTTGTCGAAAAGAAGTTTTTCACCCGGGTTTTGGTACTCATCAGAAACTTGTGTTCAAAATTTTTGGGACAGTCATATCCCTACAAGTATTCTAATATAGCATGTTCAGTGTCAAAGTTAGATATTTATATTTACCACTTATAATTAATAGGGGAGGTATATATTGCACACTTGTAGCTATTGATGTTTAATCATGAACCGAGACCCCTAGTTGTGAGTAGACCATGTTTAATAATGTATCGAAATAATATCAGTATCTCAATCAATTTCTTTATAAATTCATTTTAGAAATTTCATAACAGATCATATTGGTGGAGTGGAAGATTCATTATATTCGGCAACTATTCTAACTAACCGATATTTATCTGAAGATAATGCTCTTGTTTTTCATACACCACCAAATGATTGTAAGTAGTTGAGTTATAAAACATTCTTTATATAATTTTTGTTTTAATAAAGTAATCTTTGTGTCTATATCGTCTATTTGGTCGTGATATAAAGTGTATTTCTGTTTAAAAGTAGTTTATTTATCAAATAGATATGTGACAATGAAAAAATCTTGTAGTGAAGTAGTGCCCTCAAATGCCCTGGTACGACCGAGAGTGGGGAGAGTCCGCTATCCCTATCCAAATGCTCTCACATGGCCACGTACATACAACCACTGCCAGTAAAGTCCTACTCACTGCCTTTTCATGGAGGGGGTGTTGTTTACGAAATCGAGAGCACGGAAAGCTAATGTCCGGCGCTTTTTAACCGGGTTGGTGGACACGGAGGATCCACCTAAGGGAGTTGGAAAACCCTGATTCCAAACCAATGGTGCACATGGGCTCCAGGATCCTAAAGGAACAAATGGCGTATGAACCAATCGTCAGTCACCGGCTACCATGGGACTGCGTCTTCTGACGTTGCTCCACTACCTTGTGGATTAAACCTTTAGGTCGAAGGCTCCAGATGAGGCCTCTTACGAATACCACCTGTTTTGGTTTGGGCACCCGGGCAGTGTCCTAGCCCTCACACAAATCGAACGATTTATGTGGCGCATGTGTATTTGGTGCCTTCTTATATCTGTGTGTTTAAATAAATAAATAAACTGTCGTTGTGGAATCGGGACTAATGATATATTGTGGATGATGTTCAGGTTTACTATTATAGCAAAAATCGTTCAAAGTGAGCTACCCTAAACACCAAACCATAGTTCCGCATAAACCATTTCAACAAAACTTCAGCTTTATTGGTAACTACTAACGAATTTAAAATATTGAATATCAGAGAAAGATATTTTTGTCTGCTATTTTATAGATTGGTTTAATTATTCAATCAATGATCAGTCATAGAATTATAACATTTAAACAAGGCAACCAGTTACCATGACTCTATCAAACAGTCCATAAATGATATGAGATATTTAGTACAATGATCTAACATTGAAAAATACCAGAAGGGGTTTTTGCGGATATTATAATAATTTTATTAGTTGGGATCATGAATCAATTGAAGCTAGACCATCATGGAAAACCTAGAAGCACTGTATGGCTGTTTCATCCTATTGTGGGACTCCTAAGCAGTCCAGTGCTTCCAGGTTTTCCATGGTGATCTAGCTTCAATTGACTCATGATTTCAACTATTAAAATTACTATAATATACACAAAACCCCCTTCTGATACTAATCTACATTAGTTAAATCGTCTAGTTGCCTAATTTTTTTATCATGATTGATTAGCTTATTCTTCTGAAAATAATATTGTTTTTTTATTTTTCTCTATATTAATTTTCGTTTTACTGTATTATTTGATTGTACTCCCTGTTCTCAAAAAGTAGCGCTCAATTCATTTTCAATCACTGAGAATAACCGTTGGTGGTCTCAGTGTTATAAAGTGATTGAAGTTAGACATGTAAATCGATCAATGTCAGGTCAATGGTCTGATTGTTAAGTGTTCATCTTAAAATTCTAGTTTCAGTCCCTAGTAGGATCCAACATTCCAAATACCGAGGGGTCCCATACTAGGTTTTTATTGGTTGTTTAACGAAGATCGATTCGTGATGTCAACTATGGAATATCGTTGATTCAAATCCGATGGTGGTATAGGTAGTAAAAGTATGAGCAGTAATCGGATACATAAAGGTTTGAAGATGTTATTCAAGAAGCACAACCCAGTGAAATAAATTTAGAAAGAAATTAAAGGACATGAAGAATTCGGGAGATTAGAATTTGGGAGAACACAAAGAGTGGATGCACCTGCGCCATTGCAAACGATTTTGAACCATGTCATTCAAGGTCTCTAACCATCAGTTGCTATCATCTTGCGGATCCCAATCATATAGTGAACACGTACCGACATGGCTCAGTTCATTTGTCAATGACTTGATCGATTTGTGCCATGTTTTGGTCTGACCGCCCCTACCCTTCTTCCAACCTACTGCTACACCATAAAACATCGCACGTTGTGGCAGTCGGTGGCTGAGGATGCATAACACATGTCCCAACCATCTCAAGTGATGAAATTTCACTACTTCATCAACTGATTTACCATCCTTACCTAGTACCCGTTTTTTAACAACTCCATTACTTACTCGCTGGTCCCAGGATATACGAGCAATGCTTCGAAGATACCTATGATCGAATACTAGTAACCTACGAATATCCTCTAATCTTACCGAGTCATGTTTCGCTGTCATAAAGTAGGACGGAACGAACTGCTGCGCAGTGAACACATCCCTTGGTTGATAGACGGATATCTTGGCTACGCCATAAATGACGCAAGTTGGTAAAAGCTAGTCGGGCCTTCTGTATCCGTGCTGAGATTTCGTCACACACCAGACCACAAGGGCTGATGAGACTCCCAAGACAAGTGTAGCGGTCGACACGCTCAACTACTTCATTCCCTATCATTAGTTCAGGTGTCGATGCCACCTAATCCTGAAGTTACATTTTTCATTTCGAGGGAGGGGAATCGCATCCCGAACATGCCGGCATTATTGCTTAGAGTGGTCAGAAGACTCTGCATTTTGTCAGCGTCTACACCAAATAGAACTATGTCATTGGCATATTCTAAGTCAACAAATGAATCTCCCGGTAGAAGTTCAACCCTTGGAAATTTAGTTGAGGAAAGTGTTATCTCTTAAAGCACGTCAACGATAAAATTAAACAAGAATGAAGACAGTGGACAACCCTCTAAATTGGTTACTTATTTTAAGTTATGACTTGTTTCATTCGTATGGAAGAGAATATGAATCCTTTAAATTTTTTTTCTTCCATTTAGTATTTCGTCATTTTTCTAGTGAAAAACTAGATGTACCTATTACTTTAACAACAACAATATTCCATGAACCAAGTAAAACACCAATGGGTATAGTTGGATTACAAATCACACATACAGAAATACAAAATGAATTTAATCGTATTACAAATACATGTTTTACGGGTAAATGTCATGTTTGTGGAGATCCTGGTTTCGATTGTTATATTATTAATCAAGCTGCAATGGTTTTGGCATCAAATGTAGGCGAGAAAGAGGTAATTAGTCGTGTGTTTTTTTAACATTCAGAAGTTATAGATGATTCTGAAAGAGATGGTTTTAAATAGTTGATTTTAGTTATTCCAATAAAAGACTGATCAATTGCAGTTCTAAATAACAATTGGAAGATACAAGTAAAACAACACCTAGTGAATTTAAACTTCACTCCACTGCACAAGCAAGTGGCCATCAGAACTCAGTAGCTAGGTAGAAAACGCGATGGTGTTTCAAGTGAACGGTACTGGGTGAATATCTACTCTGAGATGCAAGTAAATCCAGCTGACGAGTTCGAAATAAGACAAAAAACGCGTCCTAGATTCCATTACTAGCCACTATCTTTCTTTGTTTATCATATAAACTTCATTTCATTTATGGTACTTTAGATATGTCACATAGACAGTAATTTGGCATTTAATACTTGTCCAGTGACCCGATTATTATTTCTCAGGATGGTTTATTGAATTAAGTATTACAAATTTTGACGCATTTATAAGGTGATGAGAATCATACATTTAAAAAGCTTACACTCCCAGAGATGGGAGGTTATTTAGTTAATGAGATGAAGGGTTGTACTGATTCTTAAGTAAGTTACTTACTTACTTACTTACTTACTTACTTACGCCTGTTACTCTCAGTGGAGCATAGGTTGCCGGTCAGCATTCTCCAACCTATTCTGTCCTTGGCCAAAAGATAATGATTCTTAGACAGGTAACATCATGCTGGGTTTCAATTAAGCCACCCTTAATCTTTGTAACTTTCTAGATTCAACTGAGCTGACCAGTTCATATTCGTTTTACTTGCGTTGTCATATATTTGTTTAGCCCCATAATACTTCATACTATAAAATGTAACGCATAAACTACTCCTTTTCATGTTTAAATCAATTTCAGGTGGGACAAAGTCTAAAAGAAATTAACTGTGCACTTGTTGAAGATTTGGTCAAACATTCTATATTGAATGAGTAAGTAAATTAATTATTTAGCTATAGCTCAGGATGTGCATATACATTTGTATTGACGAGACTATAATTTATGAACGAGTCAATCAGAAGCATTTGACGGGTTTCAAGGTCACAACTCCAATTTCAGTATCTGATGCTCACGTACGACAGGTTCACAGTGGATTGTAGAGAAAATAAGATAAATGAGCGACTACGATACGTGGGACTAATAAGTTCCTTCATTTGTGATTGTGGTAATCACATGACTTGCGCAGAATACGCTGATGATGTTGTCTTTCGATGTAAAATATGTTGGAGGAAGAAGTCTGCCAGCATAAGGCTTTTTCGCTCGATCCAAATTGAGACTGAGGCAAATTGCTAACTGGATAATAAAAGCACCAGGAACATTGGTTGTAGCTGGGTACTACAATATATACAGATGATTGGAGAGCGTACAGATGCCTACATAGACTTGGCTCCAGAGGCTGACTATTCTGTAGCCATATGGATGATTTCCTCTACTACATGCATTACGGCTTTAAAACCTCTGAATCTCTTTCTAACCTTGACGAGTTTTTGAACCATATATAAGAATTGTATCCACTTAACTTCTTTTGTCTTGTATAATATAGTTTTACTCTACACTTACTGGTTGGTGATTGACTAATATTTTTCAAGGTCACTAAAGATTCGTTCAAAGGTCGTCCATAAATTATGGTCTCTCCGACTCGTATTGTCTAAGGTAACACCGTAATACAGCCAAAGGTAACATCATTAGTTACGGACTTTATAATGTGGAGATTGATTTCATGTGACATACCATTATGGGCTCTTATATATCCATTCAGATACACAAATATCGATTAATTCTAGCATAAAGAGTGAGAGCGCTAAAGGCTTGTACAACTTTTGCTATGATACTTTACATCTTTATAGTGCTAAGAACATGGTAGACTTATAATCAATAATCACTAGTTTATTGAAAGCCATTTGGGTAATCTGAATATTGTTTGATAATGAAGCTAAGTCGTTCACACACTAATTATCGTAAAGACCCTCTCCATATCAGAAAAACATAAGTTATGACATACTCATCCAGAAGTGGCTCCCAGAATGTCATTAATGAGTGAATAACAAGCCTGAGTCACATTGTTCTAACTTTCTGGTGTTTTGCGAGTCCATAAAGAGGTGATCGTAACTCTTCATTCTATCTGAGATATTTCACGAATTTTAGGGACCTTTCTAACATTTTCTTTCAACACGTAGTTCTAGTGTACAACCTTATCTAAGGAACTGAAAGTAGCTCTAATATCAAGATACTCAATGATTGCTTATCAAAAACATATATGTTAATGTTCAAGCATTGAGATAAAGGTGAAAACGTGATCTATACATGCACAATCTGAGTGTAATTAGGCCTGTTCTTTGTGGAAGAGTTATTCACATAATTCACACACTACTCAACTTCTCACTTGAATTTCATCGTCATTTAGGAGGTAAAATACGATAACCATTTTATTTCAGAATGATAGAACATTCAGTCTATTCTATTAACTTCAATGCTCTAGGTGGTTAGCTCATTAGTTCTTGAAAAGAAGTGAAAGTAGTTCGTTTGAATCGATTGGCTTATAAAATTTCACAAGTTGGATTTTCATCCGAAGCTTTTCAGTTTTAAGGGGATTAGCACTAGTGACAAAAAACTCGGGACTGTGTGTTCAGCTTTTCTAGAATGGGTCTTTCGAACTGCATTGTCTCTTTTTCCAGATGTCTTTTAGTGACTATTGATGAACATGGTATCACCTTCACAGATTGTTTCATTGCCATCATATTTCTTGATGTGATTTTATTCTGAACAAATTGATTTAGCATAGATTTGCACAGCCAGCTGTTAGCTACACTTTCTAAGTGAAATTTAAAGAAACTAAATGGTTGCTTAAACCATAGTTTGGAAAACAGAATGTGAATCTAAAACCCAGTGATCAAACTTCTTGTATTTTAACTACTAACTTAAGTATTCAGTAGTACTGCCTTGTTTTCATATATTTTTTTAGTCCAAAATTAAACAATTACACATTTTATTTAATAATTTTACTCTTTTCATTCAAAAAAACCTAATAGGGTATATTTATACGATTTCCAAGGAATTTGCATTGAAACAGTACAAGAAACTCCTAATTTCGGAAATCATTTATACCCAGTAAGTGATACTATATGAAATGTACATTTACAAATTTCATTAGATATACGTATATTTAATAATTGAATTCATGAGTCAATTGAAGTTAGATCACCATGAAAAACCTGGAAGCACTGGTCGGTAGTTTCGTCCTATTATGGCACTCCTCAGTATCAGTCCGCATCCACGATCTCGCCCCCCCCCGTGTGTGTGAACTATCAAGTCTTTCTCAACATACCATTCATCTGAATGAATTATAAAAACAGCATTCAGATAAATTCAATTCTCGACATCATCATTTCGATTATTCAGTGAATATAATGCACAATCAAAGTACCCTATTGTACCCCCTCTCTTTTCTTTTACATTTTAGCCATTTCGAATTGTATGGAAAATGATTATATGGTTCGTAAATGAAATAGCTTTGTAAGTAACTCTCACCCTGATTATTCAATACTAGATTTCTCATGTTTTATATCTACAAACCTTTAAATCTTTCAAATTTATTGAGTTAATCTGACTAATGGGTTGGTTTATACAGTTTCCTACCAGTCGGTTAAGTGTCCATAGTAACTTTAAAAACAAGAACTTCTATGTTCTTGTAAATTTTGAAGTTTCTACCAAGTAAGTCGTTTGTTTACTGATTTCTTTAAGAAATGACAAGAAAATAAATCTACTCATGAAGTATATATCAGCATTGAGAAGTTTCAGTGGTCCATTTCATATGGATCTTGGATACTTGATTCTATTGCATATAAACAGTCTATGAGCGTTAGAACAGATTTCAGTTTTCTTGGTCTTAGTGGGTTGATAATCTGGTCATCAAATTCTCTTTCATCTTGAAACCTCACGCCATTCATTAAGATGCCGGACCGCTTTCTATATACATGTTCATACTCTACTAAATGATTTATTCAATATATTTGTATTTGACCAATTAGTATAAAATGACTTCTGAGCTAATCCGTGTCGGGTAGAGAAAGGTATCTACCTCAGTACGATGGAAGATGGTTGCGCAATTTCGTGGATTGATTGAGATTAGACAGTAACACCGTTGGATATCGGCCAGCTTAGTGGTCTAGAGGTTAAGCGTTCGCACGCAAGACTAAAGGCCTCAGATTCGAGTCTCGAGGCCGGGATCGTGAACGCGAACTTCTGAGGAGTCTCACAATGGGATGAAACGGCCATCCTGTGCTTCCAGGTTTTCAATGGTGGTCTAACATCAATCATTCCATGATCTCAATCAAAAACTTAATAACCTCCACAACCCTATTCATGACTTATGAGTAGTTTTCCTCAAATCTACATAAAGAAACTTAAGCTTGCCTTTGATTAAAATATTCAGTAGCTTTCATCTACTATGTTGTAAACAAAAACTAATTTGAGGTATTTTGCGGTATAGAGCTTTGATTATCAACATATATATACTCAACCTTGAGTTTACGTATTTCTTATTTATTCGCGATGATACTTGTAACATTTGTAGGCTGTTGAAAAGTTGAAGGATACTAGGATCTATAATTCTACATGTCAGTAGTTTTTCTAATGTTCAGTGTTTCTTTACGTTACTGGGAACTCAGCGCTAATGTATTTGGCGTGTCGGTGCCATTAGCAAATGTTTAAGTTTTAGCTGAAAACTAACTAACTCACCAAACTTCTCAAAAGAGCATTATTCTAAAGATGTTCATTGCTGTCAGTATGAGCTCATCATTTTAGTAGCTATTATGCAGGCTCAGCACTTTATTGCTCTTTATTAACTCCACTATGATCGAGTGAAATAAGGCCGATGAAATGTAGTTCGTAGAAAGAAAGGTATAAAGTCATTTCAATCTCACGGTCTAAGGGAATACATAAAGTTTATACATCTACGCCATTGTGATCGATTCTGAGCCATGTCATTCACAGTCTACAACCATTGGTTACGATAGTCACGCGTACCCCAAGCAAGTAGTCTGCATCACCAACATGACTGGTTGCCCCTAACTTCCTTTCAACCATCCCCAACACTAGTCAGCATTGTGTGTCGTGGAAATCGGTGTCCAGGCATACATAATTTACGTGTTGACATTGTTGAGATGACATGTTAAGTGGACAGAATTGTTTAGACGACAATAAGCTATATAAAAGTAGGACAGGATTTGATATAGATGGATGTGATACACAAAGAGCTTCGGGTTGATCATGCTCTCAGATATGTTCCTTAAAGTATAAACAAAAACATAGATCATTTGCTAAAATAGTATTCTGTAGTAAAATGGAATGATGCTAAATATTAAAAAGAAGATTTGAAGTGTTATCTTGTCAGGACTTGAAAATCATATATTGAAAGGAAGTTACGTAATAATTAGATTTCCACTACGGTACTTTTCGGAAACAGCTAAAGTATTAAGGATTTAGTTGTATTCGGTTTCACTATAGCCTCGTATAGACTCTGGCTCTACAATATTATGAAAAGTGCTTGAATAAGATAACAGTAGACTCGATCAGTTCTTACATTAACTATTATCTGAATCAACTACGTTGATTGCTTCCCACTTCTCATCACTTTGCTTATTGTTACCTCAGATATTCTGTAGTGATGGTTGTATCATTGTCTGAGGCTGAAGCGAATAACCTCTTGTCTGTATATTTACTCATCGATATTTACCTGTTTAAGGAAGAGGTTTGATGAAATTTAGAGTCAACTGGACATGTTTACGGGTAACTCACGGATGTTTGAAATGAGTAACTCGTCCACTAAAGATGAAGTGTTGTTTTAGGATCGCTGTTTGTCGATAGTTTATCTGACCATAAGGAGTAATGTACTTGGTCACGTTGACCATCTCCAAGATTTTAAAAATATACAATAGCACTATCGTTATCCTTTCACTAACTAGATAATTTGTTTAGCTACATCCATTCATTTTCTCCACCTTAATAGTATATTGTAGTAGCTTGGCTTCGAGGCTTCGTATATCGAACACACTGATAACACTGTTATTAAATAAAACTCAACGGTATATAAATTTATAAGGCAACATGTAGTGTCGACTACATTTTATTAATGGATAGTACAAATAATAGAGCTACAAGCGTAGCAAGCAAATTCGAGCAGAAAAGCCAATACGCGTGTGCAAGCGAATACAGAGTCGAATCCATTAACTGAATTCCTAAAACCAATAGCTTCTTGGACAGTAGAACAACAAAAAGATGGCACTTCATAGTTCATTGTTATATACAACTCAAAGTTTATCAACTTAAAATGTTAGTCATGACAACAGGGTTTTACGCTTTGGTAAGATAGCTGAAAAAATTCGGAAAAAAATTCTGAGCTGTTTCAACCAATTATTTTTCTGGTTAACGTTTTCTTTAGTAAGCTAGTTTTCTACGGAATGGGGTCGCTAACCCCATGCCCAACCGTCCTCCTTTATCCAGGCTAAGAACCGGCAGTAGCCTCAGAGGAGCTCCAGGCGGAATCCTTAAGACCAAAGGAGAAGAAAAAGACCAAAGAACGCATTACTCCAAGAAATGGAGACAAACATCAGAAGAATAAACAATAATTAAATAGAACTAGAAGGGAAGGCGGAGGACAGAGTGAGTAGGAGAATGCTGGTGGGTAGCCTACGCTCCACTGGGAGTAACAGATGGAAGTAAGTGCTTCAGCCAAACTAAAGAGCTTATCAAACGGACGTATAAATACTTCCTATAACCTATCAAAGACACTGACTGACTATAAAATGTCGATGACTTTGATACAAGCTGATGTATGAATTTAAGAATTTTGGAGCTCATTGAATGTTCATTCAAAGAAAAGACAAATCGTCTATGTTTAATCCTTGATTTCCAAAATAGTAGTCCTTGAGAAGAAGGAAATTAATGCAACGATTATTGTGTTTCGCTCCATTTCTTACGTGTTTCGAGTTCAGTCATTATCCAATGAACTCAAGATTGTTCATTTACAATTTAAGTAACAATAGATTGTAATAAAGTTTACCCTAAAATCAAATTAGTCATGAATCATACAAAAAAAATCACATATACTTTATCTTGTTTTTAATTCTTCAATAGATTTATGTTTGGTTTTGTTGAAGATCTCTTGTCGTATAGGATCACATTTGGTCAAAGTAAGTTATATCAATTTGATATCAGAAAGGGTTTTTGTGGATATTATAGTAATTTCAATAGTTGAGATCACGAGTCAATTGAAGCTAGATCACCATGGGAAACCTGGAAACACTGGATGGATGTTTTGTCCTAGTATGGGACTCCTTAGCAGTGCGCATCCACGATTCCACCTCGCAAGATTCGAAACCAGGACCTATCGGGATCGCGTGCGAGCGCTTAACCTCTGGACCAGTGAGCTGGCCGACATTCAACAGTGTTAATATCTAAATTCAACCAATCCATGAAATTAATTGACATATCCACTATTGTCTTCAGTGAGTTACTATCTCACAACAGACCCAGCTGAACTCCATTGGTCACGGCTTTTCACTAGAACTCCAGAAAGTACCTATTGAAGACCATCACTAGTGATCATATTATGATTATAATCAGAAAGGGATTTTGCGGATACTATAGCAGTTTTTGATAGTTGAATTCATGAGTCAATTGAATCTAAATCACCATGGAAGCACTGTTTTTTTCGCTGCTTCTTGTACACATATGATTCCAAACGATCAATGAAGGAATGTTGGAAACGTTTGTCATTCCCTTTTTTTATCAGAAGGGGGTCTTGTCTAGATTTTAGTAATTTAATAATTGAATTATTAGTTCCTTGAGCGGGATTGTGGTTGCGCACTGCTTAGAAGTCCTACAATAGGACAAAACGACCGTCCAGTGCTTTTTTGATGATGGTTGTAGTAGTTCTTCAAGTTCCAGCTCCATACACTAGAACTGTCTTGATGTTCGCATTGAAGATTCTGACTTTGATGTTGGCTTGCAAATAGTTGTTTTGAGTTTCATGTGTTCTTCAACTGTTGGAATGCTGTCCTTGTTTTGCCAATCCTTGACTTTATATCTGCATCAGATCCTCCTTTTTCATCGATGATGCTCTCCAGGTACGTGGAAGATTCCACATCTTCGAGAGTTTCTCCATCAAGAGTGATTGATTTGGTGTTCTCCATGTTGTATTTGAGAATCCCGTAGAAAAAAGTCTTGCTAAAAGAAACACCAACCAGGATAAAAGGTGTCTAGTAACATCAAATAGTTTTTATTGACAAGAGGTTTTCTTTAATAAACTAGATTTTCGGTAACAGCATGATATATATAGACTGATAAAGTCTATCGACAAGAGAAATTTTGGACAGTGACGGTCTTCAAGAGGTATTTTCTGGAGTTCTAGTCAGAAGCCAGTGACTAGTGTAGTTCAACCACATCTGTTGTGAGATAGTAACTCACTAAAGACAATGATGGATGTGCCTCTCAATTTCTTGTATTGGTTGAAGTTATACATTAACACCGTTGGATGCCGACCATCTCAGTGTTCTAGGAATTAACTGTTCACTCACGAGACCGAAGGTCTTGTGTTCAAATCCTTCGTGCGAGATCGTGAATATGAACTGCTGAGGGAGTCTCACAATAGAACAAAACGATCGTCCAATGCTTCAATGATGATCTAACTTACATCGACTGATGAATTCAACTATGAAATATTTTTTTTTCTTTTTGTTTTATTTTTCTTAATATAGAATGGGGTTTATATTCAGAAACAGAAGATTTATTAGATAAAAATCATAAAGAAACATTACCATCCTATCAAAATAGAGAAAATAATTTACCGCCTGAAGATTTTATGATTCGTCAAAATCTAATGTATTATAATATGGATGAAAAAAATAAAAAAATCAATAATCAATATCAAGATCTAACCGATGATGAATACCCTTATAATCCTTTATTATTGAATAATGCAATACATTCAAGACCATTATCAATACAAAGACAAGAAAAACAATCTATTGAAGATCATAATACCCTATCAAAATATCATCATGAAAATAAATCAATAATCAATAATTCATCATTATATAATCAATCAACTGATAATATGATTATAGAAACTATATTAATACCGGAATTAAAAGAAGAATCTATTGATGAATTATATGGAAAAATTGATCAAGATCCATATGATACACAATTGAAAGCATTAACAGCCATAGAATTATGTCGTAAAGAACAAACTATACAAATTCAATCAATATTAGATTTACAATCAGAAATTAATGATATCAATAATCATCCTAATTATAATAATACAGATGAAATGATCAATTATACTGAATCAACTAATACAAATTCAATCCATTTCAATTCTGGTATAGGTATAGGTAAAGGTGGTAAATTAATACCAGGTAGTTTATTATCATGTGTACATCGTTCGGTACAACAACGTTGTCATACAGGTGCTGGTACAAGTAGTTATACTGGACGTTATGCATGTGAAGCAATCTGTGAAATTGTTAGAGAACGTATGCCACATTTAGCTAATCGTTTAGAAGATTGTAAACAACCATTAACATCATGTACAGAAAGATTTATTACATATAATGTTATATTACAGAATTCTAAAACTATTCAACATGATCATAGTTCATTGAAACCAAATTATATGAAACCATCAATTGGTGGAATATTAAATGAAAATGATTTAACAGGTGAATATTGTAATGAATGCGGTGGACGGTAAGTATTCAAAAAGATTGGTTGAAGTTAGACATTAAAATCGTTGGATGCCGGCTCAGTGGTCTAGTTCGTTAAGAGCCTGGCACGAGACTAATAGGTCCTGGGTTTGAATCTCGCGGGGTGCGGGATCGTGGTAGTGCACTGCTGAGGCGTCCCATACTAGGACGAAACGGACGTCCAGTGCTTCCAGGTTTTCCATGGTGGTCTACCCTCAATTGACTCATGATTTCAACCAGTGAAATAGATATATATATTTTGTAATATTAATCTTTTTAATCATATGATTGATATATTTACATAGATTCCTTAATAAATAAGGCATATACAGTGTTATAGTCTGTCATAAAAGTCCACGATAGTCAGTCAGTCAATCAGCTACAACGTAGGACCAAGCACATATATGCATCGGTCCAAGTTACCACACCTCACTCATTAGCACAACAAGATGAACACCAAATTCATAAAAGTAGTTAATTCAGCGGTGGTAATATATAAAAGAAAGGTTTTGTATAAGGATACTGTACACGAAGAGAGAAAGATATGAAGCAATTTTAATCTCATTGTTTTAAGGAATACAAAGAGTGTATGCACCTACGCCATTATGATCGATTACGAGCCATGTCATTCACAGTCTACAACCATTGGTTACGATAGTCACGCGTACCCCAAGCAAGTAGTCTGCATCTACCAACATGACTGGTTGCCCCTAACTTCCTTCCAACCATCCCCAACACCAGTCAGCATTGCGTGTCCTTGTAATCAGTGTTCAGGTATATACAACATGCAGCCCAACCATCTCAGTTGATGAAGATTCACAGCCTTATCGACTGATTTACCATCATTCCCTAATACCCTACACCTCACCTCACTATTACTTACCCGATGGTCCCAGCAGATGCGAGCAACATTTCTAGGGCATCTGTCATCAAATACTAGTAAATTACGAGTATCTTCTACTCTTAATGACCACGTTTCGCAGCCATAAATTCGAACAGAACGAACTGCCGCACAGTACACTCGTCCCTTAATTGATAGACGGATATCTCGCCTTCGCCATAGGTGACGTAAGTTGACACAATTCAAACGAGCTTTCTGAATCCGTGCTGATATTCCGTCAGACACTAACCCATTAGGGCTGATCATAATTCCAAGATAAGTGAAGTTGTCGACGTGTTTGACTACTTCACTTCCTATCCTTAGTTCAGGTGTTGACGCAGATCAGTCCTGAAGCAACAACTTGCGCTTAGAGTGAGAGAAGCGTATCCACGATAGTGCAGGGTTGTTTTGAAAATTCTCCTGAGTAGGTATTCTCAGCACACACAACATGGATGAACTCTACTGATTATGATTGCTGCTGAAGAGTCTCATAATAGAGTGGAGCTTCCGTCCAACACTACAAGGTTTTTCAATCTTTGTATAGCTCTGATTTGTTCGTGATGTCAGTGATTTCGTTAAATGCTCATATTACAATGTGGGTTACACAATTTATGTTGCGGATATTTAAACTGTTATATCTAAAGTATATATTCTTAATATGCCGCGTATAACTTGAACACTTGAACACTAGAACCCTCCAAGTCACATATAAGAAGAAAGAAGACTAGAGAAAGTGTTTATTAGGTAAGAATCGATATGTACAGAAAATTATGGGTATTTATTGATATTAGCATTTGTTAAATCAACATTATAATTCAACCAATTCACAAAGAGGCATGTTATACAACTGACCAGTAGTAGCATTCCATGTTGATATTCTAGAAAGCTCCATCGCGTTCTGCCTGGATGGAACTCTTCGGCTCTACGGTAGTTCTCAGAAGCCATCTGAACATAAAATACTGCCACAAGAAGGTGATAAAAATGCAAAATATAGTCACCGATCAAACTCAGAATGAACTAAGTAGAATAGTAAAAACAATATGAATTGTATTATATTTCAAGTAAAACTGTTAGAGAATACATTAGCTAACAATACAATCATTCCCTATATAATCATTTGATTGAAGTTGTTTTTACACCAACTGAATAATATGTAGAGTCATTTAGTGAACATATTGCAAATTGGATTATTTGAAACTTTAGTTGATTGTTCAACCAATATTTATCGAATTAAACTTCCGGTTAAGAACTTCATCAATTGAGATGGCTGGGACACGTGTTACGTATGCCCAACCACCAACTGCCCCGATGTGCGATGTTTTATGGTGTAGCAGTAAGTTAGAAGCTAGAGGCAGCCACACCAAAACATGGCACAAATCCATCAAGTCATTAACAATTGAACTGAGCCATGTCTGTAGATGCAGACTATTTGATTGGGATCCGCGAGACGATAGCAACCGATGCTTAGAGACGTTGAACGGCATGGTTCAAATTCGTTTACAATTGCGCAGATGCATCCACTCCTTGTGTTCTCCCAAATTCTAATCTTCTGAATTATTCATGTCCTTTTCTTCTTTTCTCTTTCCAAATTTATTTCACTGGATTATACTCCTCGAATAACATCTTCAAACCCTAATGTTTCTGATTACTGATGATACTTTTACTACTTCTACCACTATGAGATTTGAATCGACAACTGCATGTCTGTGCTAATGTGGTATGGCGACTTGAACTGATGTACGTACGTACAAAGTTCTACGTTGTTGCTCACTGACTGACTGATTTCATCTAAGACCTACATCTGAAAACATACTAAAGTTTGATAGAAATACATCAAATGAAGAAGCCTTTACATTTAAGATATTTTTAATTAATGTTGGTCTTAGAATTAATTTTAATTGATTGATTTTGTTTTTACTGAAAATTCATTTCGCTTGTTCCCCCCCCCATTTGAATAGATAAATTGTTCAATAGTTGTATTCATGAGCCATTTGAAACTAGACCACCATGGGAAACCTGAAAGCACTGGACGACCGTTTCGTCTTAGTATGGTATTCCTCATCAGTGCACATCCACAATCCCGCCCTATAGGATTCGAACCCAGAACCTATCAGTCTCTCGTGTGAACACTTAACCTCTAGATCACTTTTTGTTTATTTAACTTACATCAAACAAATAACACTCATAGTCTAATTCATGGGTTTATACTAAGTTAGTACATTTTGATTACCATAGTAGATTCATATTATGTATTGTAACAACTAATGAATGAATCAAAATCTTATATATTTCAATGTATTAATGACTTCATTAAAACTTTTCTTCTTTAGACGTTGGTGGATTAAAAAAATACCAAAAACCAATTTATTCTTATTGATCAATGTAGCACAATCAGGATCACAAACAATTTTATGCAAATGCAATTGTCAAAAACGATTTCGTTATGGTGCACGTATAGCAAATATCCTTTATCATGAATGTATAAAATTAGCCGAGGTTTTGTTTTTGTTTTTCATTCTAAGAAAAGTTACCTTAGGAATTTCTTGTAATGTAAACTTTAAAAAGTGTAAGCTTTTGCTATCAAGTGATATCAGTTGGCAAACACTGCCCGGATGCTCAAATCGAAGTAGATGGTTTTCTTAGGAGGCCACACTCTGAACTTTTGACCTGACGGTCTAATCCATAAGTCAGTGGAGCGACGTCAAGAGATGCAGTCCCATGGTAGTCGATCATCAATAATTGGTTCATACACTATTTGATCCCTTAGGATCCTGGATTCCATATGCACCATTGGTTTGGAATCAGGGTTTTTCAACTCCCCTAGATAGATACTCTGTGTCCAGCAACTTGGTTAAAGTGCTGGATATTCACTTTTCATCCTCTCAATTTTGTAAACACCCCGCCGCTACTAGAAGGCATTGAGTAGGACTTCGCTGACAGTGGCTGTATACGCATGGCCATGTGAGAGCATTTCGAGAGGGAGAGCGGACTCTCCCCACTCTCGATCGTAACAGAGCATTTGGGGCTTATCAATATGTGTAACTCTTCAACTAGTCGGTTAATAGTTAAGTTTATTTTTACGAAAACAGACGGTAGAAATGCTCCAAAACTATATCACAACAACTTCAAACTATGAAATGTATTAAATCTACCAAGTGTTATACCCTAAATACTATCGACCAAGTTCCACTGTGACTACTAGTCTAGTTGACTCGACATTGCTGCACTATGTTGAGTTTTTAATAGTTTTTTTTCGATTACACAATAACAATACCTCATAGGTTTGTGCAGAATCAACACGTTTGCATTTTTGAAATCTAACTGTCAGTTATTTCGCTAACGTCAAGTAAAGACTATAGTCTTAAAGATTACTCAAAACCCCATGTTCACACATGTATACGTATAACAAAGAAAAGAAAACGTAATTTTAAGCAAAGATAGATAGTGGTTAGCTGTGGAATCCATAACTATTTGGGACTCGTCAGCTGGATGTACCCACATCTCCGAGTTGATGTTCACTCTGGGACTTGAACCCAGTACCGTTCAATTTAAACGCCATCGCGTTATCCACATACCTAATAAGTCTTGGCAGCCAATTGCTTGTCCAATAGGGTGGAGTTTTAAATTTACTTGAAGTTGTTTACTTGTATCTTCCCATTTCTGTACTCTACGTATAAACGATAAGTATCATGGCATTAAACATTAGAAGGATAATCACATACCTTAATTCATTATTGATACCATCATTGATACAGTGACTTCCTTGAGCAGAATATCTTAGTTAACTATATAGAGAAAACGAATTATTTCATTGATATATTGTATATTTCTCCTTAATATGATTGTTAACTAATTTACCAGATCAATCAAAACCAAGACCAGTAGCATATCGAAAACATCCATTAATGCCAAATAAATGTCGTATGGTCGATGATTCAGTAAGTTCATAGTTTCATTTTAATGTACTTGTATACTTGATTTGATCAAATCATTTGAAAGTTGATTGTGAGTCCCATAATAGAACGAAACGGTCATCCAATGCTTCCTGGTTTTCCATGGTGGTCTAGCTTCAATTGACTAATGATCTCAACTATTAAAATTAATATAATGTCCACAAAATCCACCTCTGATACTAATCATAATATTATTACTCAATACTGTGAGAGAACGTTCATTTGTTCAGTGTCAGCGTCAAAAAAAAATTCAACAGATTTGAAGAAACAAGACAGATTTTACTATCGACAAAGTATAGAACAGAAATGTTATGTTGAGTAATCCACAGTTTAACGATTAACATTTCCCTTTAGTCGACATAATTACTTACTTATTTACACCTGTTACTCCTTGTGGAGGAGCATAGACCACCCATCAGCACTCTACATCCAACCCTGTCCTGAGCTCCACTTGTAACACTTCTAGAGTTACTACCGGTCCCAATCCCGGATAAACAAGGAGAGTTGAGTATGGGGTCGGCAAACTCATCTCGTAGAAGACATCTTGTTAAAAGAACGCCAGCCTTAGCCGATATATTGAATATATACTGAGCGTTTTATCAATCAGTCAGGTAACAGCGCTTAATTATAAAATAATGTGCAATGAAAAAGAAGAAAACATTACAATGTGATAATGATTTTGATATGTTAAGCTACACAAACACCATCGATAATCCATTGAATCACACAATCTATATTAGGAACAGATATCTTAAACGCTAACTCATATTCATTATTTGTTTGCATACTATATATTTTTCGTAAGTCCATAATTATGGACGATCTCTAGGTGATACGATAGTGACCTTGGGATAATTCCACTACTTGTTAGGTTTAAAAGACAGCCATAAATCAGTATTGAGGAATCAGGATTTTAGAGTTAAAAGTTGGGGTTAGGAATTATAGTTATGGGTTTTTTTATCATGAACTCACATCAGCTATAATGCCAAAACACTATTTAGCCAAATGGATGAGTTAATTTTGCGCCAAAATCCAAGAATTAGTGTCTGAAATCTGATTGCTTTGTCCATAATTTATAGTCCCGCGATGTTTTTATTAATTTCAAGCACTTAACGGACCAACTCCGCCTGTAGCTCTTCGAGAATTACTGCTCGTCCCAAGTCCGGGTAAAGGAGAAGGGTTAAGCATGAAGTCAGCAAACCCATCCCGTAGAAAACTACCTTACTAAAAAACACTAACCAGACTAAACAAATTAAACCATTTAAACTCTTTTTCCGTAGGTGAACGAACAACTATGACGCCCCATGATGAGAGCCGAGATTCTTCGGTAGTCATGAGGCCGATGCCTCTTCTAACAACCAGAGCAACAATTAATATAGGTAGATGGAATGTTCGGACAGTGTGGGAGACCAGGAGAATTAGTCAAATAGCTGAGGAAATGAGAAGAAACAACATAGCGGTTTGCAGAATAAGTGAAACCCATTGGATTCAAGCTGGACAGAAAAGGCTAGATACGGGACACATGCTTCTGAGCTCTGTTAACGAAGAGAAAAATTCTACCAACACTCAAGTAGCTGTTCTGGTGCTGTCCAAAGAAGCACATACAGCACATATAGGATGGGAATCCCACGGATCCCGAATCATCAAAGGATCCATCGAAACAAAGAAGGAGGTGTTATAGCCCAAAGCCGCCAATCAGAAGCAGCGAATTATCGATCGGACCAAGGACGCGTAAAACACGTGCGAGCAGCCTAGAGTCCTGATTGGTCCTGCTTTCCGTCTAGCCCAGCCAGTTAAGTCCATAACACCAGTCTCAGCCTCTGCAATATGAATCCTTAGATTTCAAACATACTGAGTTTATATACTAATCAAACAGACCACATCGTACCATCAAGATAGAAAATAACATTTGTACAAAATTTGGCCAAATGTGGCTGTGAATGTGGGAGGCAGTGACTAATAACAGACAGGGCACAATTCAAGAATGGTAAAACGTAAAATAATGGTTCATAGGTCAGAATAAAGTTTATAATAAGAGGAATATGAATATGAATAGTTTGGTTATTTAACAATTATACGATAAAATTATACGTTTAGTATTGGTCCATAAAAGGATCCCAAAGTTACCATTCATTACGTTTATCGGGACCTAACAGGAGGAAATCACGATGTATGTTATTCATTATTATGCAACCATTAATGATAGCAAAGACGGCAACAAAAATCAGTTCTATGAAAGGCTGCAATCAAGCATAGCGAAGTGCTCAGGAAACGATCTGATCATTAAAGAAGATTTGAGAGGAAGGACAAGTGCGACCGACAAACTGTTAAGAAGGATACCTCATCAAGATACCAAAGAAAGGAGATTTTAGCAAATGTGAAGACTGCAGAGGAGTCACAGTACTATCGATACTAGGAAACGTTTTCAACAGAGTGTTACTGAACCGGATGAAAGATTCAGTAGATGTCCAGCTTCAGGAATAACAGACCGGAGTGAGGAAGTTACCACATAATGGCACTGGATCTTGATAGATCTTAAGTTGAGTGGGAGTGGAATGTTAAGTTTGTCTCACATTGTTCCTACTTGTTCCTTTTATACTCTTTTGTATGTTGTCCTATACTACTTATTTACATTCAGTAAGCAGTTGTATTCCGAACAACTTTCACACTTATGTTGTTACTCGAGTTGTACTGTGACATTCTGAAATGTTCACATATATCTTTAACGTTCATTGTACTTATCATTGTATTTACCATTATAATCACTGTACTTTAATTACTGTAATGGTTATCCACAGTTGTGCACTTGTTTAAACGCAACAGTTCCCACATTGTTTGCTCTTGGCTCGAGTTTCGGTTGCTCATAAACTGTTATCAAATTTAGACACAACTATCGAAGCCTTTGTTATTTTCATTCTTGAAGAACGCGTTTAAAAGCCTAGACACCTCACAAGTTGAGGTTTATAACTAAATTTTGTGTATTATTTAATAAAGAACCGCTTTTGTAGACAAATCGTTGTTTTGGAACTTCGATTTTGCGCGTATCTCAATCGGGGTTACTCGGACGCTTCGATAGAATTAACATGGAAAATTGTAAAATTTGGATACTAACTTCTTTTTCTGGTTAACTTTAAGTGGTTAGAAATACCATAAAAGCTAGCTATAAATGCTGGATTTAAGCATATAGTTCATATCAATTATATATGTAGGATCTAACTTGCGTAAAGATGAATTTCTGTGATACGTCCTTGTACAGTCTTCACAATGCTATAGGTGACATGTATGACATGAAAACAACCATAGTTCCAGTTTATTATCCACACCTGATCCTGTAGTGATGATCCATTTTTCACACATTCCACCTTTTTGTTCTCATCAAACCTGTTGCCCAATAATTTTAAAAATGGTGTAGTCGGTTATCATTGTCTAAAGACAGATATGAAAAGTTAATCATTTCTGCAGTAATTACCCTTTCAGTAACAATGAATTCTAATAGTCATGCCATCATTAGTTTAGATTCAAGCTATGGCCAAAGATAGACTGTTTTTCAGTATTTTTGTGTATTCGGAAGAAAAATATTCACCGGAGCATGTATTTGGATAACACATAAACCAACCATTACTTTACTCAAGATTTATGGCCATACTCCCGAAATTGCCATAAGCCCAATTTTTTGTGATTGATCGATAACAAGAAAAAAGCTAGTGATTCGAGATCGAACTAACTTTCAGTTGGCGGGTGTTCAGCTTAAATATTGTAGCGAACAAGAACACGAGTGGGGACAACCGAATATATTCGAACACAGAATTACAGAATATCTCACTAAAATCTGAGAACCATATAGTAAATACTTAATTTGCAAAAGATCAATCCATCGTCTCAAACTTGACTGTCCCTTCTGCAAATATCAGTCCATTGTCTCAGATTTCATTGTTCATACCAATTGCTCTCCGTTCCTGTTCTTACCCTCTCGATCTTCCACTGAAATACATTCTATGTCTGACCATTGTTATATACTACTTATGTGGATATAAAAAGCTCACGTCACAATATCACTTGTTAATTCACTCTAATTGATCGGGATAAACGACAAATATTGATATTGTGATGTATTTCAGTGGAAGATCGAGAGGGTAAAACAGGAACGGAGAGCAATTGGTATGAACAATGAAATCTGAGACAATGGACTGATATTTGCAGAAGGGACAGTCAAGTTTGAGACGATGGATTGATCTTTTGCTAGTGATTGACAAAACATTGTAGTGTATACAAAAAGTCCAGCTAAATTTTATCAATCTGAGTTACTTATACCGTAAAAGATATACTCATCTACCTATAAAATGTGCAACAGTTTGATACATTAATTTATGGATGTGCAAAACATATCCCAGGTGTAGTGTATGTACAAGCCGCAAGTCTACAAAATATCGTCCATATATAATAGGATCGCCGAGTAGGCAAAGCTGGCGTTAAACGTAGAGAAGTGTAGGTTATCCATTTTTTCAAGTTAAAGGGGCTGGGACGATTTAATGATCCCTATAGCCATCTTTTTGTGCATGTACATCTCGAAAAAGAATGATCAAACTGATATAGCTGCTGTTTTCAAAAGTCCTGTTTGAGACTATGATTTCAGTTAGATAACAAGGATACATTAAATTTCAAGTCCTTCAATTGTTTTACTAACCTATTGCTTCTGCTTCTCAACTGATTTTATCACAACTTGGATTCCTATCTTTTACTACTGTTGATTTCTACCCTTTCCATCATACATTGTTAGTATTGTAATATAACTAAGAACCCCGATCGTTGTTACCACCTTGACATGGTGGTCAGGCATGCCAGTCGTGGTTATAATGGTTGGAACAATCGTTGATCAAGGTCCTACCATGTCAGTTGAAGAGCTGTAAGACTAAAAGCAACAAACCCAAGGTCCGAAAAAGAAGTCGTACTGCTGACTGCACAGAAGTGTGATGGGAGTAAGGTGTTATCCCCAGACAACCAGTATCACAGCGATGCTGCCTTCCCACAAGGAGGGGTGGGGTTGGGAATGGTTGACCGTAAAAATGCACATTCCACATTATCCCACGGACCTCCGTCTTCTGAAATAAGGTCTCGACAAGTACAGAGCTAACACAAAAAGTTCGTGTGTGACCGACCTCAAGTAGTTGTCCCTTTGGCATGGGGTTACATTCTCAGGTCACTAAGACCATCTCTAATCCAATTTTCTTTTCAGATACCTCCAGAACCCTCAAATGCCCTGATACGGCCGAGAGTAAGAAAAGTTCGCTCTCCCTCTCGAAATGCTCTCACATGCCCACGCGTATATAGCCTCTGCCAGGGAAGTCCTACTCACTGCCTTTTCACGGCGGGGGTGTTGTTTACGAAATGGAGAGCACGGAAAGCTAATGTCTGGCGCTTTTTAACCGGGTTGGTGGACATGGAGAGTTCACCTAGGGGAGTTGGAAAACCCTGATTCCAAACCAATGGTACACATGGGCTGGCTCCAGTATCCTGAAGAAACAGACCTTCAGGTCGAAGGCTCGTGGAGTGGCCCCTAAGAAAACCACCTACTTCGGTTTGGGCGCCCGGGCAGTATCACAGCCCTCACACATATCAAATGAGTTTTGTGTGGCGCATATGTGTTTGGTGCTTCCTTGTACCAATATCTATGTGTCACAATAAATAAAAAAGAACCTTTCCACAATGTAGGTAACCGGGAAGTGATAACTGCCCTCATACTTCTATCAGCATTCAAGACCACTGTATTCATAATCAATCTTCCTCTTCAATTCCAATTATTCCTGACTGATAATCAAAAAGTATTAATATAGTAAACTGCTTCTATCTCACTTTATGCATATAATAAAATGGAAAACTTTAGAAATAAATTCTATTCCAATTTCATACCTTAATAATCTATCTATTGAATGATACAATATTTAAGACGTAATAAACGTGAATATTTTGTCTTAAAATATATATATTTTTACAGATGGAGAATTCGACCATTTGTACAGATAGTGTGAGCAACCTTCAATATTATTCACGATTGATAACATCCCTATTATTACTCATAGTTACTATGCAATTATGTATGTAGATGAGTTAGAGAATCAAAGGAACAATAACAATAATAATATTTTAAAGTTTGATCATTTTAATCATTACTCTCTTATTTGTTATGTACACAATGAAATGATTACTATTATTATTGTTATTATTAGAAAACAAAACAGAACAACAACAAAAAAGAGACACCCCTTCTAAAATTTGATGTTTCTTATATCATTGAACGTGTATACATACACATATAAGAATATTATTAATGGATATAAATTATTTACAAAGATTGAATTTAGTAGGGGCTGGGGGTGAAATGAGGTAAGTGAAGAAGAAGAAAGAAGGAAGAAGAAGAGGAAAAGATTAATTACAATTATTGCGAATACTATTACTACTATTACCATTACTACTATGAATACTATGATTATGTGACTAATAACAATAACCATAATCAGTAATAGTGATAGAGATTATGTTGAATATGTGAAATGAAGAAACAATGAAAGAATTAAGAGAATAAAGAATTTAGTACTGGCAAATGTATTATTTCCATACATATATATATATATATGTAACAATCAGCAGAATAGTATTTCCTTATAAGGAAGTAATATTAATAATAATAAAAATAATAAGATGAACTAATAATCTTCATCAATTTGGGATGGTATATTAAGAAAAAATCAAATTCAAGACACACTAAGACCAAACCAGTAAATAATAATAATAATAACAATAACAGATAGATAGTTCTGGTTAGGTGGGAAATAAAAAGACACATATTGAGGTTATAATAGTATTGTGCAAAATGGTGTTTTGAATATACCACTGTGCAAAACATGAACAATGTGTACGTGAATATGCGTAGATAAACACAAATATGTATATATATATATACCTTTTTTTATTAAAAAAAAAGTAAAAGACGAGCTATTTATATGTACAAGATCGTTCTGAATGAACCGTTTTTTTGGCGCCATTAGTAAAGAACATGACACATATAGATGTATAATGAATATGTATACAAGGCAAAATTATCAATTTGATATCTAAGCAAAAAAAGGGGGGACTAAACCATAGCCACAAAACAAATCTGATAAGCAATATAGATACAGGAGAATTTTGAGACCTGACAACTCAACATACTGCAAAGTAATGATGGAGTAAAATAAGTGGGGGTAAACAGAGGTTAAAAGTCTTAGGTTTCTGTAATGCTACACATATTTATCTGTTACAGAATAGGTCTTTTATTTTTAAAAAAAATACGCAAGAGGAAAAATACATGCGCAAAACAGCTCCTAGCTGAGGTTGCTCACTAATCAAGCAATAATTCCATATTAAGTAATGAACATATCGAAGGATATAATACAATTAAAAGTTAACCATTTACTCCGGCGACTGTTTCTTGTGGCCAATTGATTTCTAGGTCATCTGAATCATTGATTGTATAGAATTCATCGGGACCAGGTATATAGCCAGGAACAGAATGAGGCGCTACATTGGAACTGGATACTGATGATCCCATATTAGAAACACCTATGTCACTCACACCGGTAGATCCGGATGGACTTAAACAATTATCCTGACTGACTGTTCCTGGGATAACATTTAAGCTTGTGTGCCGAAAATTTACATTCCCGGCTGGCAACGTTCGACTAGAACTGTAGGGTCCAGGGATACCATTTGCTGACTCACCGTTACTTTGATTTATCATCCTATGATTAAGGTGGCGGATATTTGTTCTGGTACGTAAAGAGCCTGTACTTATACGATGTTCATTTAGTGTAGGGTTAGAAGTATTAGTCAAGGAAATACGTGAATTATGACCATTGGTTTCATTGCCGTAACTAATCATATAGTAGCCGTAAACAGGATGTCCGCCCACTTCGGAAACTATTTGATTGACATCAGCTTCATCATCATCTACTCCTGGTGGTAGTTCAGTATCATCATCTACAGCATGTAAATCAACGGGTCGAATATTATCGCTACGATTCGATCCAGTATAACAAGAATAAATCCCAGATAAACTAGGTGAAGACGATAAACGAGTTCCGGTTGAAGGATGAGCTGATGGTAAATCTATACCAAGCTCTTCAGCAAATGCATTTATTGTCCCATGATTATTGCTTCTACGTACTGCTGAAGCCACAGAGTCCATAAATGCAGCGGTATCAGCAACGTCACAAATCATTGTATTACCTTGAGTGTCCACGCTATTCAATCGACTACTAGTATTGATCAAAACAGGATGAGGATTTGAATGTCGCTGTGGTGTAATTCTATGGACTGGTCCAGGAGAACATCCAAATGTTGGATGTCCACGTGACTGAAGTAAGCCATCAGTAGTAATGTAAGCTTGATCAATAGAGAACTGATCGAAAGGTTGATTTGTAGTTCTGTAGGATGGAGATGCAGTATTGTTCCAATTCTGAACACGATGATGGCGACAATACATGTGATCTGGATATGGTAAAGAGTATCTAAATACGGAAAAACACATTGATATCATATGATTTTGTATATAAGATAGTAGTAAAGAAAGGTCATTCGATTAAACGTTTGTATAGAAGAGGTTTAGATATAGAACACACAATGTACTAAAAGAAACACGAGAATGATAGACAGAATAATACATCACATTTGAGATTGATCTTTTATAGCTGAAGCAAGGCATCGAATGACATTTCGTTAATTAGAATAAAACGAAGTTGCTAACAAATAAATTATAGAGGAGGTACTTGTTATACTGTTAAGAGACTACTGAAAGAACAGTAAGCGAACAAGATAATGAAGTAATGAGTCTACAGTGACCAATATATTAGGTGAATATCTGTACCTATATGTCGCGCCAGTACAACCTAATGTTTAATGTTAGCATAAGTGAGAGATCGATGGAAGCAACTTCAAAGTCAAAAATGAAACAAGTTGATGACTATAACTTTCGGTTTCGAAACAAGAAACGTTACAAACTACTAGCTGAGGTGGCTGGAAGCGATCAATAGGAAACCCTAAAACTCGTAATGCTGACATACTAATGTTAATTGCACATCGAGCAGTAATCAATGTTATGTTTATTTAATTCTTAATGTTAATTGAATTCTGTTAGGTAAGTTTCAATGTGGACACTAGTATAAGTGATTCAATATCATGTACAATATGTTTTGGTATTAGGTGTTTGGAAGCAATCAGGAAGAATATCTGGATCCAGTTTCTGTGCTAGTTGCTACCAGTTGGTTTGGTGTACCTGTAATCTTGAGAGAACTGACGTCTCTATGAGATTTAAACTTGTTTCTCAACCCATAAATAGCATAGTAGTAACGCTGAAGTATAACGAGAATAACGAGTTCCCATGGATAACCAGCAGTTCCAGAGACGCGTAAAATGATATGGAATCATAATGAAAAACATTCTGACTAACTCATTCATTCACATCACATACACCTTAATAAAAGCTAGGAAAAATAAAGAGCTCTTTTTATAAAAGCCTACAATGAATGTTGAGGGTACTAAAAGTCAGCTTCCAAACGCACACCCGAACAATATCCTGCCTAGTTATCGAGATGAAAATGTAAAACCAAAATTTCTCTCATCTAACGTTAAATAATAACTATCTACATAGCCTTAGATCTTTGTGTGCCTTTTACAATCTGCGAGTAAACATGAAGTTTCTTAAATAAGATGGGTACTAGTTCACGGGACAGTTAAGGCGATTAGAAACGGAACTATGAATCATCTGTGTTTAGTTTCTAACTGGTGAGTTGTGGGGTTAACACTTGACAAAAAGACTAAGTATAGTGTAGTCAGATAGCTTCGGCAGCTGACAAAAGAGATACTGCACACGGCTTATATGGGGTTTCTAAAAAAACATACATTTCTGAAGTGATTAGGGCAACTTCAAACATGGATAATTATAGTTTAGTAGTGGTTGGAATATAAAGATGAAATCACTTCAGAGTGGTTACATACTTTTGATCGATGGAGTCAATGGTCATGACATGAACAAAGGACCGCAGGTTGTGTTAGCAGGATATAGATTGGATTTAAGCATGTTCCGTGCAAGATTACATAGTGGCACGTTGATTGACTATTGCTTATCCAATCAATGCTAGTGGACAATTGCGGAAGACTCTAGAATCTTCTCATATAAAATATATAAATAACGTTATTCTTATTGTAATTCCTATTTACATTCGCCTTGGCTATTTGGAATAATTTAGTTCCTGTTTAATATTGTTCTAATTTGGAGACTTATCGAGTGAATTGGCGTCCAAGAATACTAAGCAATAGGAATATCTGAGAAATTATAACAGGTTCTATAGCTCGAATTCGATGAGAATACAAACAACAATAAATATTTCACAGATATACACTTACGGAATAGGATTAGCTTCACGGGGTGAAATAGCAGTTATTGAAGGACGGAGATTAGGAACAGCTGAACGAACAGAGCAGCGGGAACTGGAGGTTGTAAACATGAAATATAAAGTGAACAGAACAATCAAATGCGTGCATTTTGGTTGTTATAAAGTTTGGCCTTTTACCACTAAATATCCAACATTTTGAGTTCAAACGGAAATAATAAGGTCAATTCAATGTACAATAAAAATTAGATTTGTATAACTTAAGATTATAAAAATCTGTCCAAATGAAGTGTTGTAAAACGGACTGATAACTTGATGAAATTATGAGTTATCGAAGTAACTGGATATTATATTTTAAAACCCGGATCCACAGTCCTTTATTGCCTTAAATCATTAAACATCAACGAACTTTATTAGTGATAAGTATTATAACTGCACGATTGACCAGAGTGTGACAGTGGTTTGAAATTCCACCACTAAGTTTGGGATTTATAATAACGATAATGGAAATAATAAAACTAAGCGGCCGATTGCATATTCATGTAGGAGCATTACCTACTATGTCGAATTCAATAATAGCAACCATTGGCTTACAGAATGGGCAAGGCAAATTCAAAAACTGCTTAATACTAAAGTCATCAATGATGCTCATACACAGGCTACGAACGGTGGGAAT